GGAGCGTCGCTGGTGATCAGGTCCTCTTCGCTGCTCCGTCGTTCTTGAGCAACGAGGAAGACGATAAGGCGGGATATGATGGAGGAGGAGAAGCTCTCCATGACTGCATCTGTGTGGATGAAGTGCACACCAGGACTCTCCAGTAAGTGCTCCATCATCTGAAGTATGGACATATATTGATGTGCATTGTGCAGTGCACGTACTCGAGAACTTCCTGGACATTACCCATTCGTCGTACAAGCCTCATACATCCTCACATTCACCGAAAAGTGGCATACTCCCGCCAAGATTCTGTGCAGATCTGTTTACAGTGTCCTCATCACTCACGTCAACACGCTTATCACTTCATCATTTTGGTGAGTTTGGACAAAATATCCCGGAGCAGCGTGTCCGGTAAGACACTTTTTTTCTTTCGGAAATTTCAAACAGTCTAACAAAATCGTTATTGGCATTCGGATTCTCGCTGGTTAGAACGCCGGAGGAAAGACATATGGTGGCCTCCGTGAGGCGATTTGCTAAGGTTTGACGCCAATTTTGAGTCAGCAATACCTGCGTATGTACTCTCCCTGGTACACCGAGAGCCGGCACGGAAAACGAGGACGAGTAGAAGGCAATGAGGGTCCTAAACGAAGGTAAAAATGAAAAGCAATGTATAGATCGCACTGCTCGCAGTGGTTGCTATTTCCGGTGTTGAATCATCATCGGCCATTGAGTTCTGCGACGGCCAAGTAAATTTTAGAATTATTTCTCTACGACGAAATCTTCGGACATGAAAAACACAAGTTGTATTATTTGTATCCCATATGCAGCTGATTCAATGTCCAAAAACACAATAGCAGCGTCTAGATAGTAGCAAACATGCAAAATTAACTTAGGTATCGTCTGGAGACTGTCAACAACCCGCGCCTTTCAACTTGTTCAAAGAACGCAGCACCTTTGAACGTCAATCCCTCCAGCTCGCCTTCCCACAACAGCCACTCGGCTTTCTCTTCTCCTTCTTCATCCCATTCCTCCGGAGTTGCGCTGAACACGAGCTCAACCCTGCTCAATTCCATCTTGGATAAAACTGCATCGAGCTCTGCCCACTTGTCCGGACTCCCAGATATGCCAATCAGGTCATACTCCAATTGGACCTCCTTTAAGCACCCCCCCTGAGCTCTGCGTAGCAGGTGTATGAGCCAATCTGTTAGCTCGTCGTAGTCTTTGCATGCATCCACCGGATACGAGCGCCAGGGGGTGGTCATAAGCAATCGAAGCCTGGTAATGTTTTGGATATCCGGAACGGGTATCTCTGGCTTGGAGGCTCCCACTAGAAATAACTCATCCAGGTGCGTATAAGGAATCACGTCATATTGTGGGATGTTTTGCTCCGGATAATAAATTGGGTAGGTAAGCCGTCGAATACGAGGTGGCATGGAGAGGAGTGGGAGGAGGCACTTGATAGTATGCACGTCCGATTGGCTGCTGCCACGGGTAATCACTAATTCCTCAAGGTCAAGGGAAACTTCAGACGGTGAGGATGTCTCTTCAACAATGTCTACGTCGCATAGCGCTAGCTTATTTAATTTGTGGAACCCCCCGAGGAAGGTGCCAAGGTTCGTCACAGAACAGTGATTCATTTCCAATTCCTCAATTTCAGGCCAGACGATATTAATACCGACTAGTTCCACCTGGACAAGATGCAAGGACGTCAAATTCGTCATCATTGCAAAGACGATGGGCAGCTGTGGTTCAGAGGCAACCCATGTACGACAGGGGGCATTGAACCAGTCGGGATTTTCGCTCAACGTAAGGGTCCTTACAAGTGCCGCCACATTTTGGCACTTCTTCGAGAAATTTTCGCAGCGATTGAACGACCGATTTGGGAGGAAATCGAAGTGTATGACATGGAATAGGTGATAGTGGCTGCGGTGGACAAGTTGGCGAGAGGATAATGCGCAAGCTGTGAGAGAGGGAACGTCATCGGACAGAGCGTCAATTATTTCATCTATGAGTTCTGGTGGTAATCTAGGTGTCCAAACTGCACGTTGTGAGGTAGATTGTGAGGTACTCATGGTGGTCATGGACAAAGTTCAGGGCAGGGGCTTTGAGGTCCCTCCCTTATAAGTACCGTGACCGAGACTTTTATTTCCTAATTTAATTATGAGACAAAGGTTTCAGGTGATAAAGTGTGCTCCAGACATCTAACAGTTTGACTTTTGATTGATCAAAATTCACAAGAATCATGTCCACTCTGGTATACATCGCTAATATTAGTAGCACACTTCACATCTATCCCTCACAAGAAGGTATTGGGAGCGTAGATAGGAGGAGGTGGAGGCGGATTCAGACCGTAGCATGTGCCCGTTTAGGGGCGGCGTAGACATAGAGCGCCCGTTCCGCAGCTAGACGAACTAATCTGTTCATTCACCTACCATCGACTACAAGGTATTCCAGTATACCCCAAGCTTCTCGAGAAATCAACCCACAATCCACCATCCAATAGAAAAGGAGATGACTTCGATGATGTAAAAGGCATATGATGACCAAGACCATGATTATTTGTCGTCGTCCGATCTGAAGGCACTTGGGAGAAGCTATTGCAACATGTCAGGAAATCTGAATGATCCAAACCACAGACATAACGAACACCGCAAGATGCTCCATAGCGAGAGATAATCAAGATTCCCATGTATACTCCTGCAGTACCAGTGAGATTTTGTACCTATTTTAGAGAAGGAAACATACCATTGCAAAAAGCATTCAAGACAGTTTCATTCAGAAATGAATCCATATTCCCAAAGACCGCTTGTACGGGCAAACCCATCAGCCCGTTTACTCCAACGTCTCGTATTCTCTTCTCCCGCCAAGCACTGCAATTGGATGCGCTTGTTGTCTCAGGCCGGATGGACGGCACCACAGCCAACTGGCTTGGCTTCATGTGCGCAGGTGAGACCTCCCAGAAATAAATCATTCCTCCATGTCACAGAGATAGAGAGAATTCCGCATGTCCACAACAGTTTCTTAAGTCAACGTGAATCATGAATTCCGTACATACATAACAAAGCGAGTACAGAGAAATTATTACTTGTATAACTTCTGTCTGAAGTGAAGAGAGTTCAAAGCCTAGCGGTACGGTGTAAAGTGGTGAATGGATGTATTATATATGGTTCAGGATAGTCGACGGATTTCAACGGAGAGCAACGAGACAAAGAGAATGTTAAAAGTTCTTAGCTTTGCGGGTGAGGGAAAATGGGCAACGCGAGAGACAATTGCCTCAATGGGAGATACTCATATGCTGCTTCAGATTGTCTTTCCTGCTGAAAGACCTCAGGCAGCCTTTTTTCAGACATTTATAAGCTAGGGAGCTGTGAGCACCGGAACCGAGAGAAAAGGTTGAGCGCACGCTTGTAGCACGTGGAGGCGCCTGATATGCCTCTTCAGATGCTCGCCTCGAAGGAAGCACTTTCCGCATCCTTCGTACTTGCAAACGTATCGCCTGTAGCCCTTGTTGGGAGGGCATGTCTTCTTCAGGCCGAACGGAATCGATGCAATCAACGTGTGAGGTTCTGCTTCAACCTGATCGTCTTGGCGGAACTCCGGAGCAACGGAAACTTTCCTTCTGCGCCTTTTCTTATCGCCACGGCCGTCGTTCTCGCTCAAGTGGTTCGTCGTCGTGGTCGACCGAGTTCTCTTTCTGGTGGTCGAGGGTCCTGGACTAGGGCGGTAGGCAGAATCAGAATCCGATTCGTCGTCTCTGTGGTAGGAAAATTCGGACTCCAACTGTGGTGAATCGCTCAAAGATTCCGTGTGCGGGTTAGAAGCTAAGGATACCTCCGAGTCGGACTGTAGCATTCTAGATGGCGAGAGATCCTGATGAGCGGGCTGTGCATTTGCCTCAGGAGAAGGCGATGGGTCAGGAAGTTGCTCCGGGGTAGATGGTGTCGCGGGAGGAGTCAAAGGAGGGTCCAAGGGAAATGTCGAAGTGTCGCCAGAAATGATGGGCGAGTCCGCCGTTGACAGAAGGTAAGAGATAAAGCCTTCGGAGATGTCATCTCTGAAAAACATCTGCGCGAAAGAAGTGGCATCCTCCGTGGAATCGAAGTAGGAGAGGTAGTCGTATGGGCCGTTCTGGGAAAACGGAGGACCTGAAGATTGGGTTGGACTCTCTGTCTCATGTGAATCCTCAGGCCGCGAAGATGGGATGCCATTCATCTGCAGAGCGGTGGTGGCGGTGGTGGTGGTTACTGCTAGAAATGACTCGAGCCAAGTTTTCGCCCTTTTTATACGAAAATGCCAAGACAAATCGGGGATCCTCGATCATGTCTTGATTTCATACGCAAATCCAAAAGCCGACCCGAAATAAACCGATGCGTACTCATTCGTTTCCTCGTGCTGTTGAACTCGAGGACCTTTAAAAGTGTGTACTTCTCCGACTGGCCCGTGACTTCTATGTCAAAAATATCCTTCGATTTCTTGACAAAGGGGAACCCAACGTTTCGCGCGGCAGCCACCAACGCGGTCGCGTCCGGCGATTCAGCCTTGTTATCCAAGTGATACGGTAACTCTTGGGGCTCGGATTTGTCGGAAAGGGCTGTGTGACCCAAAGCGAGCGCTCGGAAGAAGGCGATGAGGTGACCCCGTTGTTCAGACGAACGGTCCGCCAAATTCTGCGCGAGTTTAGGTGACACCAGAGTCAGCTTGTCCGGCTGAAGGTACCGGTTCTTAAAGGTGCGTTCCATAACACTCAACATTTGCTGCTTGAGCGCTGCAAGTTTCTCCGTCAAGTCACGGGGATCAAGGGGGTCTGCATTGCCTTCTTGGGTTGCAGCACCACGCTGCGCCTCCGTCACCCCCTCCATATGCGATACCATGAACCGAGGTAAATAAACGACGTTGTGAGAACTATTAGAGTAGCTAAGTAAGTGTATACTGGTATAGTAGCCAAGAAGCATACCTCAATCAGCGCAGTAAGAGTAAAACGACTGAGGTTGCTGATGTGGCTATGGGGTAGTTAGGAGTATGGTAAAGAAAATGTACCTAACAATCGTGTATAAAAAATAAGAGTAATGCTCGAGACTGGCGCCGGGTATCACGCATCTCCTTCAATAGGAAACAGACCGAAGCACATACATTGTCCATCCCGCCCGATCTTACCGGCCATCCGCATGCTACTTCGAGTCATGCTCAAGTTTTCTCTCCGCTCCACTTGCTCTCTGGATCCTCATACATCGTGTCGGGGAAAACTCACTGACGCGCTGCCCTCATGTCTGAGATTAGCTTGAGAGAGTTGCGATACCGCCTCGCACAGCGAGTATCCCACCCCGTACCTTTGACGTGGAATTATGTTTCGAAACGATGACGTTACCACTTGGACCAGATGAGAAATGAGTTAGATAGTTGGGATGTGATGGGAGAGAAGCCCGATAGATCAAACGTATTTCCAGATATCGCTGCCTCTTGTCCTCGGACTGGCTTAAGAAATATTATCGATTGTATACCCTCAATACTCATTATCTGTCCAATTACACTGAGAAATTCCTTGCGTATTATAAAGGGGCTCGGCGCCAGCAGGACCATGGAACGTTGACGTCCACTTTGGAAAAGTATATCCGAGTTTTCCTCAACTTGAGTAGGCAAGGACTGATCACATTGATTTCTAGTCCTTCCGACGAGATTAATACGATCCTATCGGGCCTGAACAATGTCGGTATCCCATGGAATTCAAGGCTCGGACTTGGTGAGGGCTGCTTCCTACTGATCACGTGGAAGCGTCTTTGAAGATAATGGCGGACGTCCGTGCGTACTTTCAAGGTATGCCCCTTTGATTTCCACTTCGTCGGCACCCCTCTGAAATAAAATCCAGTCGCCTACAAGCGCTTCGCTTCCATCGACTACGATTTCGTCCGAGGCCTCCACCGAGGCTTGTTGTAAAATTTTATCAGAGCAGCTGGGAATCGACGGTCCTAATGGACAATTGACTTGCAAGGAGCTCGCTCAAGAGTCCTCCCCAGATCGCGGGGGCCGCCGTGAAGAACTGATGTGAAAAAGCTGGAGCGTTTGCAGAGCGCTAGTGAATAATTGGTGACGGGATGAATGGGTATAACTCCGGGCTCTTGCCGTCGAGGATACAGTAATATAGATGCGTAGTGGTTCTTTATGGTTTTAAATTACTCCTTCATCTCTCCGGTCAAATACGGTCCGGTCCGGTCCGGTCTCTGACGTGCAATTGAGGGCTGGTATTTTGGTTACATCGTTGATCAGTTCGTTGCGGCTACTACCACCACCGACATTGAATTTTATTCACTCTCTTATTGACAGAAGAATATATGTGAGTATCTACGAACGAGTGTAAGTATCATAGTCATAAGCACAGTAGGGATATACATACCTCAGTCGGGCACAACGCGGGTGAAGCGACTGAGGCATACAGATAGGAACGGCTGGACTATATAGGTGATCGGGAAACGACAGGAGGTGTAAGTATATATAAGGCAAATAGAGCGAGTGATCAAAAAGTAAGATAAGATGAAACGTACGGATATCCTCCAACATCTCTTGGGGGCCTAGTGAGACGGTTCCAGAAGCCGCCGTATTCAGCTCGTTGTTAATGACTTGAAGCGCACTGGTATGTAATTCAGGACTCCGCAGAGGAGGTCCGAGTCGCCGCCTTCTGGCAGTATGTAATTTCATTTTGTTTATCATTATGGACCATAAAGAAGAGGGACATCCTTGATTGAAAGCGGAGTCTTGGAAATTTACCTCTAGCCTCCGTTACCATGAAGATTTGTCCAGTCCAATGCGGGAATGTAGGAGCTTGCTTTCAATGCTTATTGTCACGAAGAAACTGTCGGTGCTCCTTGATTTGCAAAGTACGTCATCTACTCTCCTATAGGTCGGTACCGGATTAACGCTGTCGGTAAAAGAAACCCGACGCCACTTAATGACCGTGTTTACGTTTGGTTAATTAACAGTGAGTACTATTCCTATACCCTTGTTGTGCCTCATATTTCTGAACAGAAAATACCCGTAGACCTGTGTTCATCGGCCACTAACTGGAATTTAGACTACTGGACCATTCATTCCCTGATACACGTGTTTTGTAGCGGGAAAGGATGCCGATTGATTGTGGGGTCGGAGTCGTTCTCAAGGAAACGCGAATCTTCCAAGACGGTTGTCGTGCTCAGACAGAAGGCAGGAAGTTAGTTGTCTGTCCTGATGATGCCGTTTGTTACATATTCATGCCTCTGCGTGCCAGAGAATGACATCTTGATCGGATTTGCTGTGGAAATTTTCTTCTCGTGTTTTTTGTCGAACTGATAGAAGTTGCTTTTCTGGACATTCGCTTATGAATTGGACGCTACATATACGGGGGGAAGCACAATTGGACAATTCAATTCAGCCGAGGGGAAAATGGAGGTCATGCAGTATTAATGCAGTCTATAGAGAGGCGGATCATTCCAAGAAGCCCGGGCGTGCTGTATTCCAAGTTTCTGTAGGTGGCGCCTTAATATGATGCCCGAAATCCAGCAACCATCCTGATAGGTGTCCACCCGGATACAGATAGACTGGCACCTACATGCCTGTGTCATTGAACAGTGAGTTCACCTTCACTCATCTTGGGCCACCACTACTTAAATGATTTTTTATAGGCTATTATTTAAGCGCCGTCGGTGGATCGACGGCGTCCGATTACTGTCACGAGTCTGTCGTTTCTATCTTAGAAGATGCGCTTCTTTGACACGTTTTGCTTTGAATAAGGCTACAGAGATACCAGGTTTGCTTTTATTGTGCCTGCTGGGTCGGCGAAACGGCCTGTAAAAAGCCCGTGACTTTCAGTTAAGCGCCCATCCATGCATACACTTCGATTCTCTGATTCTCTTCGGAGTGCTCTAATAAATCATTTAGACATGCACACCCACCCTCGCTTGGGGTATAAAGAGTCATCCCCCCTGTCCCTCCAAAATCCCAATCTTGTCCTCGCCTCGACATGTCTGTCTACGATACCAACTCTGAGAGTGATACTGGCTTTGCAGATTTTGTCAAAGGAGGTGGTGTCGGTCTCGCCAACCCAGCAGTATCCAAAAGCCGTCGCAGACTCCTGGATTTAATAAATCGTCTGCACAGCACCGGGTCAGTGGATTTTTCTGGGTCCTACGCCGTTCGCTTCAATGATCATCCCGCTTTTTCAGTGCTCAGGTGGACATTGACCTTCCACAGATTGCTGTCACCGGGTCTCAGAGCGCGGGAAAGTCATCTCTCATCGAGTCGATTTCCGGTATCACCCTTCCTCGTGCGACAGGTACATGCACAAGGTAAATCCTCATGGAACCTCAATTTTCCCGTTTAGCACCTGTCTGATTCAGGAACCACATAATAGGTGCCCTACAGAGTGTCGTCTAGCGAGCTCTACCGAAACCTGGAAATCCATCATTTCGTTACGGTTCATCAAAGACGCCAATGGCCAGCTGCTGGGTACGGCGCGTAACGAGCAATTCGGCGAGGTCATCCACGACAAGGCAGAGGTCGAAGAGCGCATTCGACGGGCCCAACGCGCTATTTTAAACCCGAACCGACGCTCTACAGACTTTCTCGAGGGCGAAGATGAGGATCTGCCCGAAAACCTGCTTTCCTTTTCCACCAACTGCGTTTCGGTGCAGATCACTGGGCCGGGCGTCGCAGATCTATCTTTCTGTGATTTACCCGGTAACGTCTGGTTGTAAATTATTTAGCGTAACTTGGAGCGCTGATATCCGGCTTTCTAGGCTTGATCGCAAGTGTCGGTAGTACCGGAAACGAAGGCGACATCAAGCTTGTCAAAACGTTGGTGGAATCATACATCTCCAAACCGAGCTGTCTGATTCTCCTGACCGTCGCCTGCGAAAGTACGTAACTTGAGAAATTTAATTTTACTAATTTTTCTTAATGCTCAATTCACAGCCGATTTTGAGAACCAAGGCGCTCATCACCTAGCGAAGATGCATGACCCAGAAGGAAAGCGCACCATCGGTCCGTCATTGTTTTTTTACACCCTTCAAATCGTTCCTTGTATTCGCTGACATGTTTATTATCTCAGGCGTGCTCACCAAACCGGACCGCATCCCCCCCGGCGACGAGGCTGGCTGGCTGAATTTCATCCGCAACGAAAGGGAGCCTCTTGAAAACAACTGGTACTGCGTAAAGCAGCCTTCGTCCTCGGACATCAAGAACGGCATCACATGGGCCGAAGCACGAACCAAGGAGAACGAATTCTTCGCGATGACGACTCCCTGGGCCGAAGTCGATCCCATGTACCAGCGTTATCTGCGCACCTCGAATCTTGTCGAGCGTCTGAGCAACATTCTCTCCGATTTGATATCGAAAAGGTATGCGTATGCCCCCCCACCCATCATCTTGTTTTCCCCTGGCCCCAGACTCGGATGCTGATATTTGGAAATCTTAGACTTCCAGACATCCAAGTGGAGCTCGAGCACGCTATGGAAGGAGCCCTCGACCAGCTGGCCAAACTGCCTAAGGAGCCATCCAAGAACCCGCTGCACGAGATCTCGGCCCTCCTCGCCGCGTTTAGCATGGACGTCTCTAAACATGTCGAAGGTAAACCTGACGAGGAGGGGATCCTTCAGTCCATTCGACCGGCTCAGGAAATGTTCAAGCGGGATATTCGAGGGACCGTTCCGCAGTTCCGTCCGTTTGAGCGGAGCGTCGCTGGTGATCAGGTCCTCTTCGCTGCTCCGTCGTTCTTGAGCAACGAGGAAGACGATAAGGCGGGATATGATGGAGGAGGAGAAGCTTTCCATGACTGCATCTGTGTGGATGAAGTGCACACCAGGACTCTCCAGTAAGTGCTCCATCATCCGAAGTATGGATATATATTGATGTGCATTGTGCAGTGCACGTACTCGAGAACTTCCTGGTCATTACCCATTCGTCGTACAAACCTCATACATCCTCACATTCACCGAAAAGTGGCATACTCCCGCCAAGATTCTGTGCAGATCTGTTTATGGCGTCCTCACCGAGCTTATCAACAGGCTTATCACCGAACACTTTGGTTCGTTTGGGCAACAACTCCTGGAGCAGCGTGTTCGGTAAGAGATAGATATCTCGATGTTCTTCCTCATGGCCCTAACTAACACTTTTTGTTTTTGTTTTGGGGCAGAGTATGCGTCCAGGAGCACCTGAAGAAACAGCTCGAGCAAACCGAGGCTCGAATCGAGTGGCTCGTCAAGCTGGAAGCCCTGCCGTATACTCTGAACACTCACTACCTCTCCGACTACACCGAGAAATTCCTTGCGTACTACAAAGGCGCGAGGAGCAAGCAGGAACACGGAGCTCTGACTTCGGCACTAGAAAGGTATTATCCGAGTTTTCTTCATTTGATAATCGCAGACTGATTTAAAAACGTCGTTCAGCTCTCATAGCACCGTCAGTGAGATCCTATCGGGCTTAAACACCGTCGGCATCAGTGGAGTCCAAGGCGAAGATTTGGCAAAGCTGCTTCCTGCGGACCGCATGGAGGCATCTTTGAGGATAATGGCAGACGTTCGGGCGTACTTTCAAGGTATGCCCCTTTTGATTTCCACTTCGTCGGCTCCCCCTCTGAAATAAAATACAGTCGCCTACAAACGGTTCGCCGACAACGTCCCTCTCGCCATCGACTACGACCTTGTTCGAGGCGTTGACCGAGGCTTGTTGGCGACTTTATCCGAGCGATTGGGAATTTACGGATCCAACGGAAAAGACATCTGCGAGGAACTCACCCAAGAGTCACCCCAGGTCGCCGGTCGCCGTGAGGAATTGATGAAAAAGCTGGAGCGTTTGCAGAGTGCCAGCGAAGAATTGATGGGAACCAGCTAAATACATACTGATCAATGTGATAGATGACATGATACAGTAAAAATAAGTGATTTTTGGCGATTTCCAGTTTCTAGTTACATGTTCATTATGCAAATGCCGCGGCCGGCTGCTGTCCAATACTTGCAGCATCAAGATCCTGGCCATTCACAAAGGCCCGGGTACATTGCGCCATCGTCACCGAACTATAGAGAAATTTCAAATTGATCAGTAACCAAGGCGCTGAGGCACGTATACAATACACACTTTCTCGATATCGGATCCGTCTGGTAAAAGTTGCTGATGGGCTTCACAAACGGTGCGCCAGAAATCTTCGCACCCGCTGTCTTGGCAGCCAATGCCTTCAATCCAACACTGGCAACGCCAACGGACGTTGGTTCCGTAACGTCGTACCGCACAAGAGCTGGCGAGATCTCCCACATGCGATCCCGCAGTGTCAACACGTCATCGTACGGTAGCGGTGATCCAAGGACTTCGGAAAGAGCTCTGCAGGTGCGTCAGACAAGGACACGAAAGGCGAAGAAGAAGAATACGGACCGGATGATCTTCCAGTCTTCCCGCGCAGCACCAGGAGGAGACACTGCTGCACGCCCAAGCTGTGACCTGCCCTCGGTGTTGACCCATGTCGACGATTTTTCAGTGTATGCAGTAGCAGGCAAACAAACATCAGCGAGTTGTGCACCGAGGTCACCGTGATGACCTTGATACACAACAAACGCATCTTGCGGAATGGATTTGGGATCAACCTCGTCAGCATTCAGGAGATAGATGAATTTCGGTTTCGTAGAGGAAGCCTTTTTCGAAGGGACAAAACCAATCTCGTACGCAGCAGGTCTCGAAGCAATCTAGAAACAGAGACGACATCAGTAATGCGACAAACACCAGGGAAAGCTGAGGACTGACACGTTGCAGAACACTGAAACCATTCCACCCCGGTGTCAGCAGCGTTTGCCTGTGGCTCTCAACATATTTCGCCAATGCGTTGTAAGAAGCAGCGGAATCGGGATGCTCCCCAACCGAACTTCCAACAATAATAAGAGGCTTCTTTGCCTTCGCAAATTTCTTGGCAAAGGCACTCCTGCCAGAAACGAAGGTGCTCAGAGCTTTCGCATCAGCGCCGAGGTACTCATAACCATACGTCGTGTCTGCGCGCTCGCCGATGAAGCCCACTTCCAGTCCACTGTGCAACCACGACTTCCGGATTCGAGAGTTCAGGACAGCTGCTTCATGCCGAGGGTTGGTGCCAACGAGGAGGATCATGTCCGCCTCCTCAACACCCGGGATAGTGGAATTGAAGAGGTAATTTGAACGAACGTCGACGCCATGAGTTGGAGCAGATGAGCCTCCTTGTTGATCAAGGACGAGGTTATCCGATCCTAACCCGTTGACCAAATCCTTCAAGGCTACCATGGACTCCGTATCCGCAAGATGTCCCACGACTGCTTGTATCTCGTTCTCCGTCGCGCCAGACGCCGCAAGCCCATTCGAAATGGAAGTCAGGGCATCTTCCCATGACGCCGGTACAAATCGATCTCCATTTTTGATCAGGGGGACCGTCAACCGTTGATACTTCAGTCCATCATAAGAATAGCGCGTCTTGTCACTGATCCACTCCTCGTTAACGTCGTCGTTAGTTTTCGGTTGGATCCGCATGACCTGGACACCTCTCGAGTCAACACGAATATTAGACCCTAATGCATCCATAACATCAATCGATTCGGTATTCTTCAGCTCCCAAGGTCGAGCGTTGAAGGCGTACGGTTTACTTGTTAGGGCTCCGACGGGACACAGATCAATGATGTTCCCAGAAAGCTCCGAATTCATCATCTTCTCCACATACATGCCAATCTGCAAGTCATTGCCCCGACCCGTCGTACCCAGCTCCTCGACGCCGGCGACTTCATTAGCAAAGCGGACGCAACGCGTACATTGGATACACCGATTCATGGATGTCTTGACAAGAGGTCCGAGGTCCTTGTTCTCCACCGCACGTTTGCCAGCTATCTCGTGGAAACGTGTACGGTCAGAGCCGTAGCGCATAGACTGGTCTTGGAGATCGCATTCACCGCCTTGGTCACAAATAGGGCAATCGAGAGGATGATTGGAGAGAAGAAATTCCATGACGCCTTCCCTGCCAAGCACTCAGAATATAATAATAGCGCAGTCAATTTCGGGGTCACTGACCGAGCAGCATGGACCATAGGTGTGTTGGTGTGCACCTTGGAACCTGGCATAGCTGGCATCGCGCTGCAAACGAAAGGTAAAAGATGACAGCCAGTCGAAACGACCATCCTGGACGCACCATGATGCAACAGGCTTTGGTGATCGCTCGACCTCCACTAAACACATTCTATTAAGGGCATTGAGCTCGTGTCCGCTGTTTGGCATGATGGACGTGTCTCACCGACAGTTTCCGGCGATGGCGAGCCTACAACAGACATAAGAAACGACGGCAACGTGAGATGGAAAGGAAACGTACCGGTCATGGTAGCAGAATCTGAAGAAAAGAAAAATCAGCCAGTGGTCGTCGTTGCTCACTGCTGAACGCACCGGGGTATGGCAGCACCAGCAGCCTCACATGCTTGAATAAGAGCAGAGCCTGCCAAAATCGTGTCCTCAGTGGCCAACCTAAGCTGGTATCGTCGTTACGTCCATACCCTGTGGTACCGTCACTTCCTTTCCATCTACGGTTAGAGTTATATCTGCATGTCGTGCAGATGTCGACGAGATATTCCTACGGCCTTAGGAGAAAAACGTAAAAAAAATAATGTTCCAAGGCGACAGAAAGCGAACGCACAGCTGGACGATGAAGACGACGACCCCACGACCATTCCGAGTCGACCCGCCGACGTTGGTCGCGACGCTGTTGAGACAATGCGCCACATGGCGAGCGTAGCAGTTAATCAGTGCGATAAAATAATGTGTAGATGGGGCACGCGGCCCACGAGCAGGAAGTAGCTGGAGCAATGGGGACTACCCGTCGTTGTGGACAGTGATGAACGACCGACCAACCACCGTCCAGGGATTTCACTTTCCCACGATTTTTCAGCACGTGGCAATTCGGATATACTGTATTTAAAATATCAGATTAAATAATCTAATTGATTATGTCCAAGCGGGACAGCGGACCGGGAATCCGGGAACGCGGCAGAAATCGTTCGAACGCTGGATCCATTTGTTGCCTGCATAGCCCAAATACGAAGGTATGCCCTATCTCTTTTACAAATGGATAACAAACACTCAACAATGACGCTAGCAACATTAGGTCATTCGAAATTCATCCTATTCGTAGTACAAATGCCATCAATAGACGGCCTCGATGTTCAATGTTGTCAACAACGACGCAAACTCTCCCAAAAGATGCGTCTCCTCCAAATAGAACCAATCATCTACAGCACCACGATCGTCTGTCTATGACAAAATCCATTTGAAGCAAGTCAGTAATGAAAGGTACACCAAGGTTATTCTGCTGACCTATCATTGGATGACCAGTAGGTCCCGTAAATCCCACTACGGAAACCAACAGCCTCTTGTCGTCAGACGAGATGGTAGCGACATTTTCAGTTGTAAATCCACAATTGACGTGGATATTGACTGCTATGTTCCTACCATCTTTCGATCCTACAAAGTCCATTGTCCCCTCCGTGAAAAACCTATTAAACAGTATCAGTTCCAATTTATAGCTGTGGGTGCGCTCGAGGAGGCACTCACCCAGTCTGCCTTTGATTTGGAATTGGTCGGACGTCGACGCTGCAAGGACCAGACCATCATTGGGCTTCCTTAACCAATAACCATAGGTGATATTATCGTTCGCCAGTTGCAGGTCAATGTCAAGATGGTTGTGGATTGTGAACGTAGATTAAAAGTCACCCATTGTGATTGGATAAACGACCAGTGTTTCTGGACGGCTTTATACTGGATTCTAAGTTGTCAAACACGGGGGAATCATGTTTTCTGAAGCAACGACAAGTAGCACTCGGCGTCTTTCCTCTTTTCTTTGATTGGTCTTCAACCATGCAAGATGTCCCAAGGAATCCTTCGGCCCAACACATTGACCGACGCTAGAAGGATAACGTATTACTCTACGAGAATACGTAGCGCAGGTAAGCATCCAAGTACTTCTTTGCATCTGGGTTTTGTATTTACAGAGATCTGGTTACGCTTCTTTGGCGTCTCGATTTTTGCCATTTGTCCTCCATGAACATGCCTCAGAGGATTGTGCACAATGCCGCCGTGGATGTTCATCAGGTGGATACCCCATCACACTTCTGACCATGCAAGATGTCCCAAGGGATCCTTCGCAGACCGCAGTGAATTTCCTTACCGATCGCGGCATCAATACCATCATCAGTTTTAACCAGTACTCATACACCAGCGCCGAGATAGCCCTCTTGGAACACGCACACATCCTCTATCGCCACTTTCCGGTTGAAGATTTCCAGGCCCCGACTATCGATCAGCTCACAAAGGCTATTGATTTTCACAGATTTATCTCCAATGCATCCACGCTTGTGCATTGTGGATATGGTCATGGAAGGACGGGTACCGGCATAACAGCCCTTCAACTCTTTGCTACCTGGGGTCAAAGTCCTCCTGAGGCCGACTGGGCGCGTGTCAATTACGTTGAGCAGCCTGCTCAGGTGGAAGTACTCAAGCAGCTCCGCTCACGCCATAAAGGTGAGCTCTGAGTCTATGATGGAGCGTTGGTAAGTCCTCAGAAGTATCTACTGTTATTCAACTGATGTGCTTCAGGTTCAGTCGCCATTTTCCACATATCCTTCTCAAAATTTGTATCAATGCCATCTAAAACAGTGTTCGGAAGCACTGGGACGACGAGGGGCGTATGCTCGTCGTCGTGCCATTCAGAGTATATATGCAACAGTTGTGGCCGTCTTTTAACCCAATTTTACTTTTCTTTGTCTCATTCTCTTGATACGCCTACACATGCAGTCTTGTATCCATCTACCATGTACGTCCGAAGTCATATGAGGACGACTTCGAACAGGTTTTTGTATTATTTCATTACCGTCGCTCTCATTTCTGGACAGTTGCCAAGTAACGCCTCACGCAGATTTGTGTGGTGGCGGTCCGAGATGTGTATTAGGCCTCCCGTAGATGAAGTAAGTATAGTAGCTAGTCATCATGCGCTATGGATACCTCAGACCCATAGCGGCAATGGAAAGAGAATCTTCCAAGGCAAGCCCATCGTCCTTTTAATTCTGACGTGGGGTACTGACTTGGTTTTTGCAGTTGAACATCGCCATGTCGCTAAGACCCGTCAGAGGCAGCATTATGACCAATACCGGTGACGCTTTCATCACCGTGTTCGACATCGACGGAAAGCAATATGTTTTTGCTGCTAGGATCGGGAACACCCACTGCCCACCCTTCTACCCTTTCACTACGGGCCTCATATTGGCAATCTTCATCGCACGCCGGATTGCCTCAATTCATTCTTGGTAAAAATAAACATTGTTGCTACCGAAAAAGTACATACACGCAAAACCACTGTCAATTGAGCGTAGTCCTCAAAATATCACGTTCAACAACTCATTACTCGCATCCTGCAGCCTCTCCATCTTCTTCTCCAATTCCTTCCTCTTCTCTGACACCTGTGGATTCTCCAGCGCCAGCCTCTTGCATAAATCCTTTCCCTCAGGCCTGTAGATCCCCAGTCTATCCGACAACGTTTCCAGTAAATCACGATTAAGACCCCGAACAAGATCGTGGTCGATAGCGAGGGGGATGACATCCGTGAACCGTTTGTACGCCACTAAACCCTCAGTCAGAGATCAAATCGAACGTAAGACGATACACACAGATACCTTGGAAATACGCTCGCACTTCCGCCATAATACTTAGCGCGGGCTCCATCGGGTCAGGAGGGAGTAGTCTCGCTAGATCATTTGCTTTGATACCATCTATCCCGATGGCGCTGAGCGCACTGATTGCATTTGTAATAGAATTGGTCGTATACTGTATCCCTGCATTTTGCACTCCATTTTGAAAGCACTGAAGCTTGGAAAGGACATCGCTGCTAGAAGCCCGCTGCCTAGCACCTTTATAATACGCGAAGAACTTGGCGTTGTAATCCGCAAGATACAGGGTATTCAGAGTAAACGGGAGGTCTTCAAGGGCATACAGCCAATCCACCTTTTCTTCGGTGCGCTGGAGCTGCAATTTCAGGTAGTCTTGGACGAACACCCTAGAGCAACACTCAGACATGTTAATGATGAAAACGGAAGAGGCACGTACTGAATACGTTGCTCCAGGACGCCCTGCCCATAGCCACCAAAGTGATGAGTGACAACCTTGGCTGCATGCTCAGAGAGAATCCGATGAACGGCATGGCACAGAGCCTTCGCTGGTCTTTTCCACTTCTCGATGAACATGTAAATGAACGAGGCCTTTACGATGAAGGGGAAGTTTCCGGGAAGCTCTCTTGTTCGAGCGCTACATTAAAATATACATCAGCATAATGCATTTTGTTACAGCGATCACCGACTCACTGAAGAGCTCGAGTCCACAGCTCGTCGATGTAGATAGTATTACTATCGTCGGGCATAAAATCATCGGCCTCCTCCATCGGTTCCTCCGGTCTATCGTCTTCCTCATCATCATTCAAAAGGAACTCTGGTCGTGTAAGTCTCCGTTTCCCAGCATGCTTGCGCTCAAATGGCCGAAAATCCGGTGCCGTGGATCGGATTTCCCGCTGGAATTTCTCTTGAACAGGCCGAATCGTCTGAATCATCCCATCCTCATCCGGGATTCCCTGAATATGCGACGCTAAACCAATGGTAAAGGCATGAAGAAGAGCAGATATCTCATGCAGGGGATTCGACGACGGGGCCTTAGGCAGCGCAGCGATCTTCTGAGACGTCTCTTGAATAGCGGCGTCGACCTCCTTTTGGATATCCGGTAGCCTATTGAGAGTACTTTAGTTTCGAGGGGAGTCAGACGCGACACAGACACAGACACTCACCTCTTGGCAATGAGATCCGACAGGATAGAACCAAGACGTGCGACCAAATTCGCAGTTTGGAGGTATCCCTTGTAGAACGAGTCGAGGTCTTTCCAAGGAGCAGTCGTACGAAACCAGTCTCTCTCCTTCTCTCGAGCCTGCTGCCAAGTAATTTTCTGGCCAAGTTCAACAGACGACGGCTGCTTCACGCAGTACCAATTGTTCTCGAGCGGCTCCCTTTCATTTCGTATGAACGCAATCCATCTATCCTCGTCCCCGCTAGCAATACGATCGGGCTTGGTAAGGACACCTTTGAAATAATGTTAATAAATATGCGATTGGCATCGTGAAGTCATACCTATTGTCCTCTTTCCCTTAGGGTCATGCTTCTTAGCCAGGGAATACGCGCCCTGGTTCTCAAAGTCCGCTGTAATCGACATAGTTTTTAGAATGATGCACGTGAGGGGTGGGGGGGCAGCCAGGCGATAGATAACCTACTTTCGCATGCCACCGTCAACAAGATCACACAGCTTGGCTTCATGATATACGACTCGACCAGACTCTCAACCAGTTTGATATCATTCTGGTTTCCGCCTGTGCTTACGCTTGCAATGAGGCCTAGACTTAAATTAGACAGCAGATTTTTGGGACGCAAATTGGAAGCTGAGCGCGCACCAGGTAAATCGCAAAACGACAGGTCCGCCACATCAGGCCCGTTGATTTGGAGGGACACGCAATCACTAGAGAAGGTAAGCTGATTTTTCGAAAGATCTTTATCTTCTCCAACTATGAAATCCTTCATCGGCTCCTTAGGATTCAAGATCGCTCTCTGGGCTCTTCTCAATCTCTCTTCAACCTGACTCTTGTCGTAGATGACTTCACCAAATTGTTTGGTGTCGAGCTTTCCGTGAGTGTCAGCCATACGAAGAGAGACTGTACACTTCCAAGGAGCCGAGGAATATAGTAGACGACATTCTGTCGGGCATCTAGCAAAACTGCATGAGAAGTAACCAGGTAGTAAATCAAAGAGAGTCACCTCGTACATGTCCCACTAGCTCTGGGCAGGGTGATTCCGGATATCGATTCGATGAGCGACGACTTTCCAGCGCTCTGCTGGCCGATGACGGCGATCTGAGGCAGGTCAATATCTTTCTGTGCCCTGAAAAATACGATCAGCGTATTGAATATGTTAAGCGGCTTAGATATCCAACCCTGTGTTGCTCATACGATTCATTAAATCTAGAAGCTTTCTCCGTTCTTTGGAAAGCTCTCTGTCGGCAAGGCCTACGCCATTAGGGTAGTCGTCGTGATCAAATGCCGTGCTAGACGGCGTCGAAGGGACGGAGAAATCTTCAGGTGTGGACATGATGGGGGTGAGAACGAAGGGGTTCACGCTGCAAGGCCGTCCATTCTTGGAGTCTTATTGTGGTTTACACGTGCCGCAGGGAGTCCTTAGGCGCTGGCGCCTATGTCCCATCGATAACGACGGATATGAATGTTCTTTCCCAGAACCTATTCAATGACTCAAATTTTGGATCGACCTATTAATGGCACAGACAAAGAATAGTACAGAGACCCTAATGTCATTCAACAAAATAGACGCCGAATAAGAAATTGAAAACTCACTAGTAAGAAGAAAGAGTCTGATAAAAACGGTAACGCGATTGCCATTCTGGATCACCCATTCCCATGATCTTTCACTTCGTTTATTGATCATATGGCGCTACCCGGGGGGTCACTGCCTCAACTCGAAAGCCAAGTATCTACAATACTGTTGTTACAGCGAGTGGGGCGTGAGTCACAGTCAGCCTGGCTTTTGTTGCATTGTTGCATAGTCCTATTGTGTGGCCATCATGCTGAAATAGGTGTCATGAGATGATGAATCAGGCGCAGCATGGTGTGTTCAAATTTATCGGCTTCATATATTCAAACACAGCTCCTTTGTATTAAATATCTTCCAGGAAGTTTTTCTGACAAATGTTATATATCTGCTTTGATCAAATCGGCGGCTCTCTCCGCGAAGATATATACCGGAACCTGAGTATGCCCTGCTGGTACAAGTGGCTGGAAAACGGGAAGAGGAACTGAGCTTGCTCCAACATAGCACGCATGGGATAAAAGACTTACCAAAATCGAAGCATCCACAATTCTTACCCCCTTCGCGCCCTTCAGCTTCAAATCTGGGTTGACCACACCCCAATCTGCATCAGCGGGTGACATGGCTGTAGTACCCACAGGGTGGAATATACTACCCACCCCGTTCCGAATATCATTTTCGGTGGTGTTTGCGACGAGACCAAGTATGTAGCCATCCCACACCGCAGCCGTAACAAACTTCTTCGCGCTATCAGCAGCATATTGCATAATGGCAATATCTTGCGGATTTGACAAATAGTTTGGATTGATCAGCGGCGGGTCCAGAGGATTCGTACTGTTAATAGTGATGTTCCCGCCTGGTATCAAAATAATCTATACAGTGTTGGATGTGCGAGGGCGATGATAAACCTACGTGATAGAGGGCAAATACCCACGATCCCGATGGAAAAAAAGTTCCCTGCAGGAACAGGTGCGAAGGGGATGCCGTTCTAAAAGAAAGTCAGGTCAGCATTGCCCAAACCTGATTAAAGTGAACGCTGCAAATACCGTAAAGATTAACTCATAATGCCCGGTCTCATTCCCCGCACACGGATCTCCATCCAAGATATTCGCATCTTCAGGAACCCGAAGGAAACCTACCTGACTCGATATTCCCGTCGATAAAAATCCCGTTCGATTCGTTTGCCACTCTGCCAGGGCCTCAGCTTGAAAAGTCGAGTTTCTGAGATAGATGTTTTCTATAGTGTCCGTGTCGTTAACGAAGAAGTTGACAGACGTTAAGGTATGGTCTGTCAAGTTCTTCCCAACGTCGGGAAGATGGAGCGTTGGTGTGATCCCCAGAGCTGTCAGCTCGGTGGCGTCGCCGACGCCAGAGTGAAGGAGAATGTGTGGGGTGCCAACGGATCCGGCAGAGAGGATTACTTCTTTGAGCTGGGCCGGCACCAGGGTTTGTATAGTTGCTAGACGATGACATCATTTCAGACCAAAAAAATTCTCAAGATGGTACTTCGAAAATCTTGTCACCTCCAGCATCCTGAGTAAATTCGACAGCATCAAACGTCGGCCCGCTATCCGAAGTGATGTTTGACTGTAGTATTCGAGTGACATGCACACTAGTCAGGACATGCAAATTTGGCCGTCCGATAAACTTGGTCCCAAGATAGGATGTCTGTGAGCTACTTCGAGTCCCATTTCCGATTGTATATGGGGCCCATCCTGTCCATGTATAATTATCACCAGACTCATTCAGACAAGCCTTAGGAAATCCTCACCAACCCCTAGATGGAACCCCGAATTGTAATCCAAATTGAACGGGAAATCATCGGAAAGCTCCGATGTAGTTTGAATGACACGGCCATCTGTAGCGCGTGGGTACCCGGGGAGGGACACCGAATTGATGCCATTGAAACTGTGTACCGCCGGATCGAACTGACCGGTAGTGTTGTGGTGATCACTGGGGGGCACAAAATGTTCATTCTATCGTATTATCAAGATCAAACCAACTTGGTTGGCAATGGCAGAGAAAGTCAGATTAACCTTTCGAATGTACGGTTGCAAAGCCTCCCATCCCCAACCAGGGTCGCCACTGATCTGGGCATAACGGTCGTAATCCTGAAATGAACCACGCGTGTAGAACATATAATCTGGGAATACATCAGTCATCAGATCTAGGTGGCAAGCCCATCAAAGGGACGTACTGACTGCACTACTCCCTCCTAATCCAAATCCTCTGGGAAACGAAACAGAACGTCCATTCAATCCTGGCTGTTCAGTCGTGGTGAAGTTCCAGTCCCAGGGCGTTCCAGGAGTTGCGTTGACACAAAAGAAGGGAACCTCGGAGAGGAGAACATCAGCCGTCCTAGAGAAAGAGTCAACTTCGACATCAAAGTTTAGATCGAATAAAGGAAGACATACGATCCGCCAGCTTCAAGAATGAGTACGGATATATTGGCGTTCTCTGTCAAACGGTTCGCAAGAACATTCCCCGCAGTTCCACCTGATTTCAATAGTAGGTTCGGGAAATGAGCACTGAATGCAAAAATACTAACCTCCGACGATGATGAAGTCGAAATTAGAAGTGGGAAGATCGTCGAATTTTTCGTATATGGCACCGAGCACGCTTGAACATAATATGAAGAGAACAAAGAAAACGGTATCCATGGGAAATGAATGGATGGGCATCTTTAAGCAGCTTTATGTATTGCGACCATCCCCGGTCGACCGAGCTAGTACCTAGGGGTTTTGTTTCCACACTGTAGTAGTAAGGATCATCATGAGTATCAGTCTTGTGCCACATATCTCCGACAATACTGACAGTTACGTGAATCTTTTGGGTTCGGGGGCTGAGTTTACGGAATGTCAATTGATGAACACCGTTCGTCAAATGATGGTACGGAGGTAAGGAAAGTCCTCATCTTTATTCTTACCCGGACTAGAATGCAGATTGGACAGAGAATTCGCCGACAAAAGGTTTCAACGCAATACGCAATACGCCGTTATGCAGCATCAGGCTTCGTCAACGTGCTGTTGGATAAAATCATTGAGCAAAGAAAGAGTATACATGCACAAACTCATCTGCAGTCATCGTAACATGAGAAGACAGCGAGCAGAAAGCGAACATATAGAGAGGAACGGCATGCACGGGGCATAATCAAACAAGGGAACAACCCCAGTCAATCATTGTGGAAGAACCGACATCATCACCAGACCTTTTCACGGACTCTCAATGCTTCCCTCTTCTCCAAGCCAGGAATCAACTTCCCCAGCTCGTCTCTCAGGCCTCAGCTTTAACATATCAAAGCTTTCTCGCACGTTCCCTAAGCGTCAGCCTATGAGACAGCACACAGGATATGCGAGAGGAACAAAAGCGTACCGAAGAGGTTTTATTGGGCCAAAAATCAATGCCACCGACGCGATTCGTGATCGCAGGTAAGGTGAAGTCTAGCAGAATAACCTCGTAAGCCAAAGACCACTGATAGTCGGGCGGCGTATGCACTGCACGTGAGATTCAGTAGCCGATAATGTAGCCTTTAGCTACTGTTACATACCGATGCAAATAAGATCATTCTTCGGGGCAGAAGCCTATTGATCCCCCTCTCTGGCCAGCTCACGGCCATCCTGTCCCACCCACCTACTCCCTACAATGTTTGGTATACCAGATTCCGCTCCCTTCTTGTCTTCTGGGTCCCAGGCACTCAAGACTTGGGCTCACCACATTGTATTTGGGTTTCCCATCTTGTCGAATTGTACTCTTACCCACCGACTTGCCCCGACAACAACCCCAAACTCGCAGCCTCTCCAGGCCATCGTCATCAGACCAGCATCAATGAAAGATAAGGTAGATAGTCTGGCTACATGAGAGGGAACAGCATTGCGTGTGCTGTAATATGTCTTCTAGAAATGCTATAATGATGTAGTAGTAGTGAGTAGCGCTCAAATACTGATGTGCATTTGACTGGTGTCTTCCCCTGTGGTTTGAGCATTGTCCGAGGAATCAATATCTGCAAGCCAAGCACCAGTCTCAGCTGCTTAAGAAATCAAGGGACCATAATAAGACTGATGTAGCCAGAGCTTTTGCCTGAAGAACCCGTAGATGTACTAGCAGTCATGGAGACCCTAAAAACAATACTGCCAGAGAAGAAGGTTCCGCGCAGCTCCGGGCCGTGTAAACCAGCGTTGCCGCGGCACGGCCTAGTATTAGCCCCGACACCACATTGGGTTAGAGGCGTCAAGCCAAGGACAAATTGCTTCCCCGGCCGAGCCTGGCCTGGCCTTTGCACACCAAAGTGATGCATGTGGCAGACGACAAAAATCGGCGACCGAGTCAAGCGCATATCGACTTAGCCAGCAAGAATACGTGAAACAGTGCTCCTTTCGCAGTGCCAACATATTCTACGGTTTTCTGTTTCAGATATCCCATCTCGAAGGTATCACGAAGGAAATTCTCCTATGTATTACGCGTATCACGCCGCGGTTCAGATCGATGCTCTGAACTCTTCGGAAATGCTAAGCTAAAGTCTTCAAATAATTACGCCCCCTTGATAAGATCTGCCGCCCTCTCAGCAATAATATACACAGCCGCTTGAGTATGTGCTGCCGGCAAGAACGGCTACACACAACGTGAATCAACACTAACGTTCCACACAAGAACAAGAACAAGAACCCACCAAAATCGACGCATCGACAACTCTCACGCCCCTGGCACCCTTCAACTTCAAATCCGGATCTACCACTCCCCAGTCCGCACCTTCCGGAGACATGCTTGCCGTACCAACTGGATGGTAGATACAACCTACTGCATTCCTAACATCATCATCATCCTTGATATCCGCCATGATCTCAAGGACGTAGTCTTCCCATACCGAAGCCGTGACAAATTTCTTCGCGCTGGCGATAGCATATCGCATGACAGCGAGATCCTGCGAATGAGAGAGATAATTCGGGTTGATTCGTGGCGGGTCCAGGGGATCGGTACTGTTTATGGTGACATCCCCCCCTGCAAGAAAGAAAAATACTCAGAAGCAGCGCAGAACAACGAAAGGGACGATGCACACACGCGATAATGGACATAACACGACAGTCGTAACGCAAAAATAGTTACCCGTATCGGGGATAGGTTCTGAAAACCGCCCGTTCTATAAGGGACTCACTCAGTTCAGCCCAGCCAAAAAAATTTGTCTCGATGAAATCCTACGTGCCGTAAAAGCCAACTCGTAATGCGCGGTCTCATTTCCCGCGCTTGGCTCTCCCTCCAGAACACCTGCATTATCGGGAACGCGAAGAAACCCCACTTGACTAGCTATCCCAGCCGTCAAAAATCCCGTCCGATTGGCTTTCCACTCCGCCAACGCCTCTGCTTGAAACGTGGCGTTTCTGAAATAGATATTCTCCATAGTATCCGTGCTGTTGACATAGAAGCTGAGAGTCAACATGGGGTGATCAGTCAGGTTCTTTCCAACGTCGGGAAGATCGAGCGTCGGGGTGATTCCCAGAGCCTTTAGCTCAGTCCTGTCGCCGATACCAGAATGAAGAAGGATGTGTGGAGTACCGATGGAACCAGCGGAGAAAATTATTTCTTTGACTCTCGAAGGCGCGATTGTGTGCGTGGTTGCTAGGAAATGAAGCCAATGTCAGTCTGTAAACTCGAGTGTAGTAAAACTGTGAAACGTATTAACCCCCCGTGTTCTGAGTAAACTCAACGGTATTAAATGTTGGTATCCCACTGGTCTTAGCGATATTAGACTGTAAGACTCGAGTGACACGCGCATGAATTAGCACATGCAAATTTGGCCGGGCGATGTAAGAAGGCCCAAGATAAGACGTCTGCGAGCTACTTCGAGTCCCGTTTCCGATGGTATATGGTGTCCAGCCTGTCGACCTTCAGCGTCACCCAATACTCATTAGTGTGACTCCTCACCAATGCCTAGCTGGTATCCAGAGTTATAATCCACATTAAAGGGGAACTCGCTAGATAACACCATTGTCGTCTGAAGCACGCTACCGTCCGTGCCACGCTGGTATCCCGGGAGAGAAACAGCATTGACACCATGAAAGCCATGGACCGCAGGATCGAACTGTCCCGACGTGTTGTGATGATCGGAAGGGGCGACGAAGCGTTCGTTCTAACAAGCCCAAGTCAGTGAGATTAGTAAACGAGAGGAAACGAACTGGCCCTTCGCATGTACGGTTGCAAAGCCTCCCATCCCCAACCAGAGTCCCTGGTGATCTGGGCATAACGGTCGTAATCCTGAGACGATCCACGTGTGTACAGCATATAATCTGGGTATACCTCGGCTAGTGGATCTATCTTGCAGGTCTTTCAAAGGGGACTTACTGACTGCGCTACTTCCCCCTAATCCGAAACCTCTCGGGTATGAAATGGAGCGCCCGAGCAATCCTGATTGTTCCGTTGTAGTGAAGTTCCAGTCCCAGGCCGTCCCAGTCGATACGTTGGGCGAAAAAAAAGGGACTTGAGTGAGTAACACGTCCGCAGTTCTGGCGAAATGATTTAGAGTGTTGAAAAGGAGATTCAAAAACGGTGCACCAACGATCCGCCTGCTTCGAGTACGAGCACAGAGGTATTAGGGTCCTCTGTTAAACGATTCGCGAGAACGTTTCCCGCCGTTCCGCCTGGAATGCAAAGTGAATAAAGAAACGCCATACTTCAAACGAAAAGGAAAACGAACCTCCGATGATGATGAAATCAAAATCAAGAGTCGGTAGCTCTTCGAAACGTTCGTATATGGCGCCGAGGGCGCTGGAGCATAATGTGAGGAAGAAAAGGAGGGAGAAGTCCATAGGAAAAGAAGGACACGTCGAGAGTTATCTGCAGTGTGGCTTTTTGAATCCGTTGCAAACCTAAAACTCCCGATATTATCGTGGCATTCAACAAGTCTAGCGAAGGAATTTTCTACGATGAAGAAAACAACGTCATAGTGAGAGTGCTGGACCTTGAGAAAAGCCGAAATGGCATCATCGCTATCAGGCACCCCTACCACTTGGACGCAGAGATCAATGAGATGCCGGCTAACAGAAAAATGGAATGATCCTGAGCGTGTGAAAATTATCCGGAGGAGATTCGCCACACGAAAAGTATCATGCTTTTCGTCAGTTAGCCCACATGGACTCAAAGTCGATGGCCCGTTTGCAGTGTGATTACCGTAGTAATGACCCGAGTGTAATGATCCGCCTGAACAGCCTCAAGAGACCGAAAGGCATGGTGCAGAAAAATGGTGAATCTTACACTATGAGCTTTACGAAAATTTGCACGTCATCCCAACTCGAGCGCGAGATCTTGAATCTAGAATCAATTTTGCGCTACCCAGGTAACGTCATGAGAAAGAAATCTTTCGTGTTTCTGCGGAAGGTCCGAGTTAGCTCGTCCTTTCATAACATTGCGACTTTCAGTATCCAGACTTATCGTAATAGCTAATATAAAAGTACACGGAGCAGGCTCCGGATCCAGAGGCTTGGCGTGGAATAGTACATTCTGCGTTCCTCTCGGCTATTGCATATATCGGCACCTGAGTATGTGTTGCTGGCAGAAACGGCTAAGATCACTAAACGAAGACGACCTAAAAGAACTCACCAAAACTGACACATCACCATTCGACTTCAAATGCGGGTCTACTACGTCCCAATAGGAGACAAGCTTGCTGTTTCTGGGCGGTGGAAGATAGTCCCTTGGTGGTGTTCATCGCGATGCCGAGGATATGAACCTTCCCACACAGGGGCGGTGACAAATTTCTACGTGCTACTTACTGGTCGATCAAAGCGGATTCGTACGTTCCCACCTGCCATGATGATGAATAGGCAACGTGCAAGGCTGATAATACTAAGTACGTTGGGGATTCCGATTTACTTCCACCACCCTGCCTAAATTCAACATTGGCAATATGCTGATGTCTTTTGTATTTATTCGACGAGCCTGAGAATTCGGGTCACGGCACAAACTTGTCTTCGTGAAATGGTCAGCGGGCAGTTGTGTTCAATGGCGAGGAGGTATATAGGTCTAGTATACATTGCCAAGGACTGCGACGATGGGCGAAAGAGAAACTGCGTGGTTGAGCACCGTCATTATCTTGAAGTGACCATGATTCATCATCGTCTGTGGACAGAAGCCTTCCAAAGAGATTTACCCAGTCGGGGGCTCGAGGAAACTAAAGCGGACTAGACATAATACCCGTCCAGCCAAAGGACGCAATGAGATCGCGACACCCGCCCAGAACGCACGGCGGGCAGGGCCAATCTCACGGTAGACGACAGGTCCATCCATCAGACATTCCCCAAGTTGATTTCTGAACTCAAGCATCGGCAGACCCACACGGCGTACGGCCAGTTGGCAAGATATCCAGGACAGTGCCATTCCCCGAGTTTCTGTTTCCACCCTGCCGACAATATATCCAGGCGTTTTAAATTCGGGCAGGCTTCCTCAAGGAAGGAAGGAAAGTCCCAAGTCAGCTGCGACGGTGGCGAAGTTTGGAAGAGGGGAAAGATTCCTCTAACCGAGTATCCATCTCCGACAATAGATGGGATATACCGCCCGAAAGAGCGGCGTTGAAGAGAAGGGCGGAGATTTCTGATAGTGCGAATAAAGTAGGACCCTAGAACTAAAAAAGAATTGAAGAAGGTTGAGTTTCCAGTATAGGATGGAGATGGAGAGATATAAGTCACCTTGAGGTCGTCGATGACGTGTTCGATTGTAGATTCATAGTTAGACATGGGAATATGGTTGAAGATAACCCTGATTAGTGTATCCAGGGGGAGGTTTGTCATGTTCAACAAGTCGTGCAGTAGCCCCGTTCATATGCTGCATGACTGAACTCTTTCCGCAGAGTGGAGCTACCATATACCCTGCCACCGTAATATCCACTTGCACTGCAACAGCGGCAAAATTCTCCTCCAAGGTTATTGATCCTAGAGCTGCGATGCTCATTATATTCGGGTACGCTGCCGGACAGGTAAGGTCATGGTGCACGGGTTTCCTCAATGCGCTGAACGGGGCCGTCAATAGACAGTCCTTGGAATGATCATGTTGCATGACAGTTCTGCTCCTCGTGGTATCTTTGACAAATTTTACCCTGCGGGAAGGTCTTCAGGGAGAACCGTGTAACGACACAGAAGTTGCTGTATCCTCCCTGTTCGAGCAAGAACGTCAGGGACAGAAGAAAGCCAGACAGAGATGGTCGTAACATTACCATGATGCATAACCAGCTCATATGCAACCATGTTGTCAATGGCGAGGCCGTACTGATTGCCGTGCCACGAATACCCTGTTAAGGAACAAGTTATCAGAACACGAAAGGCAAACTATCAGCATAAGCATACCACCGCCAAGGGTGAAGCCAGCCACGCCAACACCTGATACCATCCCTCCGAGAACGTTGACGCCTTGGACATTCAAGGCTTCGTAAACGTCATCCCAAATATTGCCGGCACCAATGACCGCCGTCTGGGTCTCCGGGTCGTATGTGATATCTCTAAAGCATGTCATGGCGATCTGGACGCCAGTTGTAGAGAAGAATCCTGGGTTGGAGGAGTGTCCTCCATCTTTAATCTAAGATGAGTGAAATAAATTAGCGTCGTCAGGCGAGACGTGCTTCCAAGAACGTACCCCAAAAGACGTTTGCGTCTTGCCTAGTGTGACGAGCTAGAATAGTGCGTATCAGGATAAGAAGAGAACGAGCAAGTTGATTACATACAATTACACCAACGTCTTTGACGGATCCAGGTTTCTACACTGTAAGTTGATATTTGAGAGCTTGAGCTGGCATAGCGTTTGTTGTCCACCCCGTACGAAGAGAGCCTGTTTTCATTCAGCAAGGCGATAAGCGAAGAGGCGACTTTCACAAACCAGGGTAGTAGACATCTGTTGCTTTCGAGACCTAGGCTGCGATGTGCCCACAGGCATGGAGTTCAATAAGTGTGTCAAGACCAGTGGCGTGTCTGTTCCAAAGGTGATCCACGCAAGACCTAAGATAAGGGCAGCGGAAAACATGGGGGGGAATATTGGATACCGATGAAGAGTGGTGTGGGCCATTTTCGGATTTACACGAGTGAACGTCACCGCCTCCGGGCAAGCGTCACAGTGCAGAAATATGCGGACATTAAACAAATAGTATAATTGGGTAACCCAACCTGGAGAATGTGAATCAGAGTGTGATCAGACTTGATAATAAAGACACACACCAGAGAGCAGAAGATCATAGCATTTCAGTCAAGTTTCGCAGGCTCAGCTGTGTATTGTACGCCCGCATGCCAATCGAGAGGACAAAAATAAGGTTATGTTCAACCATGCTGCCCCTCGAGTAGCACCTTTCCAACCCACGGTTTCGCAAAGCGAGGCAAGCGTCCTGGTGAGGAGGCTACGAGAGCATGCCAACTGCGAGCAGCGATAACAATGAGGACAAATTCATTCGCCTGTGCTAAGGAGGATTCACCGTCGAGCAACTATGAATCGTGAGCCATTCCGCCTCTCGTGTTTTATTACTGCCACCAAATATATGCGTCCAATTGAACGAGTGCCGGCGTACAAGGAAACAGATTCACGCTCCTAGGGAGGCGTTCGTTCACTGAGAAGCTGGGAAAGAGGTGAAGAAATAAAGGGCACGATAAGAAGGGGAAGAAACTTGTCGAATCAATAGTCATCAACAACGCGTCCAGATTTCTCACGGCCTTCCAACAGTCGATTTGGCGACGCGTCCCATTTAGACCGCTCGGCGAAATCTCTCTTTTCTGAGAGTTAGGAAGGGCGCTCGGATCCATGGAACGATACTTTCGTCCATTTCCCGCCTGTTCACCGGTCTTCCACTGAGTTCAACCCGTGGCGCTTCCCAACACTGCCTTTAGAACCACAAGTCGACTTTTTTTTTGAAATTGGATCAGCAATATTTGAAATACAGATCCACATTTCTCCTCTCCCAGGTCAACGCCAACTACTCCCAAATATCCAGATATCCCTAAAGTCAAGACATGCAGTGAAATGCTCGACTGGCGAGCCTAAACGTTGGATTCAGAACTCTTCGATTGGTCAACGGTGCTAGCGCCACCCGAGCTGGCCGCGGTAGTCGAAGATGAACTCTTGCCACTCTCACGACGACGAGAAGCTTGGCCTGCCGCAGAGGTGGACCCCTTACTATACTTGCCAGTAATGGATCGCCGGAGGCTCTGGACGACGCCCCGCATTTTGGGAAGTGCAGTTCGCATCGCGCCATTAAAGTGCACCTTCGGCGGCGGTGCTGGCAAATTCTGAACCGAGGACGACGAGGCAGACGTTATAGCCGAAGGAGGGAGAAGTTCCTGGAACGTCGAAGGGGACCCGGTAGACTCGACCTTCGGGTTTTTTCCATCTGTTAGATGACTATCGATACGGAAGAAAAAAAGAAAAAGAAAAAGCCAGCGAACCTGAAAAGGCTCCAGGCCTATTAGTTGACGCAGAGACAGTGACCGGCGTCAGGGTACCATACTCCTCACCAGGGGCGCTCTGGTACAACTTCCCATTTTTGTCGGTGAAGGTATACCGCATCGTGTCTGCATCGTATCCGACTCTTCGAAAACCTTCCGGAAGGCGAAAAGAATCCTGAAAAAATAAAAACTGCTTCAGCAACGCGTCCTACAGCGGCGAATAACCCGTACAGACCTCAGCGTGCTGCGACCAACGAGGCATGTTTGTCCAAGGTTGACTTAGTTCCCTTGGACTTCATATCGACGACTTTATATGCTTTTTTAGTGGGCACGGCCTCGCGAAGATCTGCAAAGAGCACTGTGTCAACGGTCCTGAGCGATGTCCGCATCGACTTGACATGAGTCTACTTGTGTGGTTTGGTTGGTGTACATCCAGCTTATGTTTTCTTCCCATCAATCCAAACAATCCTACAGCTATACAATGCCTGCCGTGCCACCGGCACCCAAGACCTTGTTGGACGAAGTTTCGCTTACTTGCCAATTACTCGCTCATCTCGCAGCCGGAAAACAGAAAATTTCCTCACCTGCCTGTAGCATCTGTGGATATGACAGACCATTCTATCTAACTCCAGGATAGCCATACTGCCTGAAAACACTCTAGGAACCTGAGGTGGGTCAAGTCCTTGACACTGGCAGAAGTTCTGACTCAGAGCAGGGAGGTCATCACACAGCCAGAAATTCATTTCCAAACCAGCGCCATCAATTTTACACTCAGTTCATTTGTCCCACATCGCATTCAGGCCTCCAATTGGCAAGGTCTGTTAACTGAAGGTAGGCCAAGCCTTCAAGCGGGAAGGTCATTACACAGCCAGAGGTTTGTAGCGCCTTCAACTTTTACGTTCAGTCCAATTTTCCCCCGACCCGTCGCATCTGGGTACACAGCCTGAGCCAGAACTTCATTTTCAACCCAGCGCCGTCAATATTTACGCTCAGTTCATTTCCCCCCCGGCCCGTTGCGTTCAGGACACGGTAATAAACACTTCCTTCCTTTCTTCCTCTCGTCGCCATCCGTCAAATTCGGCGCAAGCGCGTAATATTATGGCAGCCCTGGAAACGTTCGACTTGTATTTGCCGTTCCGTTGCGGCTGTGCGCATTGTGCATTGCCCGAGTCGAGATTATCCGTCCCGCTCATTTCTACTGACCAGGTGTTTTCTTTCACAGCATGCCTCCTTTTCTTCCTATGCTGCCAATCCCTCAAGCGGGAAGGTCATTACACAGCCAAAGGTTTGTATCACCTTCAATTTTTATACTCAGTTCGATTGTCCCCCGGCCCGTCGCGCTTAGGCTCTTTCTTCCTCTCGTCAAATTTGGCAGTACTGGGATTTGATTTCACACTCAGCTTGTGACTGACTTGAGTAGACGGACTGTGCGATGTCCAGATTGTAGCAGCACTGGAATCTTGATTTCGACGTTTCGACTTGTATTTCTCTTGTGGCTGTGCATCTGTCCAGGACATTAGGCATTGAGCATTGTCGAGCTCATCTGTCCCACTTATTTCTACTAATCCTGTGCTTTTTATTCGCACCATGCATGATTTTCTTGCGATGCTTTCACCGGCGAGTCATGCTTCTTCCGCCTCGCCACTATTGTGCAGGTAAGCATCGTACCCCGACTCGTCGGTGTTTTCCTCCCTTTAGTCTTAACCTGAAGATCGTTCGACGGTAGGACACGTCCGGGCGGTGGTGGACGGAAGGGGTGAGTACTCTCCTTTTTGTTCTGACTATCTGGGTGATATTTATTTTTCTCAGTCCTGCCTTTAGCACATAGTTTATCGGCGTGCATCCTCCGTACCGACGCTGTTATCGAAAAGATCTACATATGATATCGATGTTCGACTTGTGTTTACCCTCTGCGGATACAGCAGTGCACCCGTCCAAGGCATCAAGCATCGTCCGAGCTGATCTCATCCATCTCACTCATTTCTACCGACCAGCTTCTTTTTTTACGATGGCGATCATGTCTTTTTCTTGACAGTGCCTTCGTGCGATTTTCGAACCTTGGAGATTTCCTATCCCTGATAGGCATCTTTTTATCCGTTCTATCCGGGAAGCGTCTGTGTTACCAATAATCAATCCATCTACAATGAAAACGAAGTTTACGCACTGCCTTGACCCGTTTACTTTGAAGCTACTTCCGGGCCGCACTTTCACCTCGCGATTCAAAAATTAAAATTCAATCTCTTAACAGGATTATGTTGAACCTGTCATTCGGCAGTGTCAACACGAGGAATAATACGAAGGAAAGAACCCGCGTCGAAACGGTGTTCCATTCCATTCAAGTCCTATGTACACTGGATCGATACCCCGAGCATCTCTGTGGCGGTATGATTTTCCGATAACTCTCCTTTCTCCCCTTACTATACTTTAAACCCTCCCGTCAAAAACATGACACCGTCCGGATCCACCCTCTCCCTCGCAGCCTCCATCCTCCCCAGCCCCTCCTCACCATACATATCCACCACAGGTGTGCCATAAATAGCATAATTCGGATATATTGGTACACCCTTCACACCAAGTTTCTGCGCCGTCCTCCTCGCAGCATCGTGAAACACGCTATCCTCGCTCTCCGACGGCCACTGCAAGTTAACATTGGTGGGAAGGACGACCTGCTTCCGCGAGCCCGGGTACGCAGAGGACCCCGCGGAAGCGTGAGCGAGAAGGCTAGGAAGGAAGGGTTCGAGAGCGTAGCTGACCACGAATGCGCCGTGTGCAGATAAGGTGCGACCCCAGAACTAACGAAAGTGAATTAGCGAGTTTCTAGGGAAGGTAAACGACACAGCCTTACGTTGACCTCATCGACGATCCCTTCAATGTTAGCCTCGGAGTAGTTGAGCGTGGGTATTTCATTGTATACAGTCCTAGTCGACGTAAGCCGTCAGTAATGCTATGGACGCTCGGAGTAAACCAACGGACCTATATCCAGCCGAAAGATTTATGGACGCAGATGTAGAATTGATGAGGTCAAAGAAGGAACGAGTTGTGACGTCCTGTTCCAAGGCGGGTATGGCGAGGAAATCGTCAAAAATACCATTTGGAGGGGTAGGCCCATCGTAGAATATCTGGGTGCCAAGGTATACCTGTTCATAATACGATTCAGAGCTCGCAGATTGAGAGACTTGGAGACGATGTGAAGTACCTCACCACTGATGTATCCATATACTATGAGCATCCCAGCCTTGGGATCAGTAACCTCTGAACAGAATTTGACAGTCGCTGCATTAAATGCGGATATATAGCTTGCATTATATGAGGATAGTCCACCCTAGAGATACAAGTCAGTTTTCGCCACCAAAATTCCAATGGTGCACGTACCCAAACAGCACCTTGCGGGTACGTCTTCAGGGTAAATCGAGTAATGATACCATAGTTGTTGTAGCCACCCTATTACAATAATTTCATAACAAGAAGGACCTGAGAAAAAAGCACGTACCTTCAGCGAAAAGAACAGATCTGGATCGTTCCCTTCTGTTACGGTCACCACAGTACCATTAGGCACCACCAACTCATATGCGACCACATTGTCAATAGCGAGGCCGTACTGGTTGCTCAACCATGAATATCCTTCATATAAGCATCCACTCAGGTCGTAGATCATAGAAGATAACCATTATACATACCGCCGCCAAGAGTAAAACCCGCCACACCAATTCCTATTACCCTTCCCCCGAGAACATTGACACCCTGAGCATCCAGTACCTCATAGACATCGTCCCAAATATTACCTGCACCAATCACCGCCGTCTGGGTCGCAGCGTCATACGTGACTTCCTTGAAACGCGTCATGGCGATCTGGACACCAATTGTTGAAGAAAACCCTGGGTTCGTAGCATGTCCGCCGCCTTTGACCTAAAAAAGCGACATTCAAGCATAGTTCAAAAAAGGACGACTTAAAACAGGTACGCCAAATGCCGTCTTCGTCTCGCCTAAAATTCCCAGCTACAGTGAAACGTATGAAAGACGGGATACAAACGACAATAATGAAGTACGAACGACGATGCCGACATCTTCAGCAGATCCGGGTTCCACACTACATTTCGATGCCTGCGAGCTTGATATCGCATAGTGCTCGTTGTCTGCTACATATGATGAGGATCCTATCGAAGGTCAGCAAAAGACCGCGCGAGAAGACGTAATGCTAACCAGGATAGTACACGTCTGTCGCAGACGAGACCGCAATCGCAATACGCTGGCACGAGTCGAAACCCAGCGCGATTCCCACTAGACTCAGTAAAAGTGCAATGGAGAGCATATGTCTGAGGAAAGAGGGCCGGGGAGTTAGGTAAAGGACGCATCCTTTATAAAACGTTTCGGCATTCGATTCCGACCCCTCACGGCATCACAAACCTTAACGCCCATAAGTAGGAACAATCGCAACCTGGAAGAATACATATACATCTGCAAGTGATCAAACCGAGAAGCGAGGAATGGCCGCACAAAGCAGAGCCAAAGCGGACATAGCACGAAGTTCGTTGAAACAAGGACAGCTTTGACTGGAGATAGCATCCAAGGATCTTGCATCTGACATACCGAAATGCACTCATATCTATATTCAACGGGCTCCAATTGGGTGAGAATCGCGAAAGAGTGGCTATCAACAAAATTGCTTGCTTAGGTTCCAGAAGGCCGAGACCCGAAGCCGATCAGCCCGAATATCCCGTCGGAAAATGCTTTTTATCATTATACACCTTTGAAGCGATCCAGAAGTGCATTCTGGCAACTTTTTTGATCCGGCATAGCTTCAGCCAGCCCTCCATCGTTGTACATCCGGATTGACAGCATTTCAGGTATCCTCACGCTGCATATGCAGATCACATATATATAACCTCCTAAAACAAGGGAGCATTGTGAGAAGGAGCGGTGGTCTGCAAATCGACGAGAATGCTTTGTTTCGCTGAAGTGCCCATGACGGTGAATATACTTGTACGGGTCGCGGAATCCAGTCAACACTCAAGATATTGAGCTTCGCTTGATTCCTGTCTTAGCAAGTTATCTGACAGAATATGGATTACCAGTACTCCAAACCCATTGATTGTGCTAATTAATCAATTTTGCAGAGTTGACATAACCCTACAACACACTCGGTCAGCATCTACAAAGACCACCATTAGCATGCCACAGATGCCTGACATATGACAAAAAACCAACCATTGCAACGCGTAACGCGTAACCACCACATGAACTCGAATATCAGTAAACTGACTTTCAATATCCCGCTTCACTGAGCCAACATCTATCGACGTCCGCTTTGTATGCACCGTTATGATCACTGCCCCCAAGGCAGGGAATCTGCCCTTGGACAGAAGTTCATTCAAACCCTTCCATACGGCAAGATCACCCATATTCATGTTACCCAACATGATGCAAAAGGTGATACAGCGAATCTCAATGCACTGTCTGAGATTCTCAATCCACCACTTGAGTAGGTGTTGGTCCCTGGTGTCATCAGGGTAGTCCCATATGTCGAGGGTGATGGTTTGTAACCTGGAGATTCGGAGGTGATGAGAAGAGTCAAGCTCATTAAATACTAAGATGATATATCATGAGTAATGTTGACAGAGAAGGAGTGATCATATACATACGACCGGTGGTCCGTGGCACATGCACAATGAGGTTTCGGACAGAGTGATGTTCTCCACTAAGCAGGTTTTGCAGAGGGCGTATGTTGGCCATGTTGCGTAGCAGAATGCCAAGAGTAATGATCCACAACGGAGGAATGAAAGACATATCTTTCCGAAAATGTTTGTACAGAAAGCTCGAGTCATGGAACGTTAGATCCAGTGTACCCAGCTCAGGTTGATTGCCGAGCTCCAGAATTCCGCTGATTTCTGTATGGTAAAGCCTAAATGAGCTAAGGCTGTCGTGAGAGCGGGAAATGAGGCTGTAGAAGTCGGATGCCTTGACCCCTTTTACGAGATAAAAATCGATGTACCGGTAGGCATGAGAAGACAGGGCCACCCGCACTTTTTGGGGCAGCAATGCCCACTTGATGCAGATGAACGTTATTTCTTGTAAGCGGGAAAATGACGATATCACAGCAGCAATGTGCCTGGGGTGTCGTATGTGATCGTCCTCACCACTCTGAAGGACCAATGTCTTGACTTGTAGAGATATATGAGGAGATGACTGGCACATGTGGTGAAATTCACGAAAGCCCTGGAAGTTCAAGAAGTGTAATCGACGGAAAAGATGGACTCTGGTTTGATAGAAAAAAGACCAACAGACAAGAGAGGAGGCCTTGAGGGATTTAGGATCATCAATTAAGAAATCTATGATGGAATTGACCAGCTCTTGAGGTAAGCTAGTGAAGCAAGACATCTACAAAAATCAGTTTCTACCATCAAGAAAGGCAGCATAGAAAATACCTTGGTTCCCCTAATACTAGGAGGACTAGATGATGGATGTCACTTGGAAAGGGAAGGAGACATTTTTCCACATCTTATTTGTTCACAAATAGGGGATAGGGATCATTCTGTGGAGCAGATGTTTTGCAACCTTAAGACGAGTACATAACATAGAGTAAGACTGTCAGAAAAAGGTGATGGTCTCAGCTATGCGCGTCGTTAAGTCCGTCGTGCTCCGTTTTGCCGGACAAGGCATGGTCTCCGTGAATTCAATGTAGTGCGCCCTCAACTTATCTTAGAAATAGTTATGTAAGCGTCCGGGTCTACGCCTGTTTGCCCTTGGAACATTCCTCATGGCGGACACAGAGGAAGGATTCGTACGCCTTCACCTTCAACCTTTCCATGTTTGAAGTGACACTCCAGTATCTGCAGCTCGGTTTCTTTGCTTTCAAATTCCAATCCAGAAGCTGTCTGAGTTTGCGAAGGATCCATATAGTGATGGCTTCCCCTTTTGCTGTCACGGTTCTCTCCTAGCGATGTCCATCTTCCAGACGTCATATTAGTGGAGGAATATGTAGAGATACTATCTATGGCGTTTTACTCGAGTGGCAGAGAAACTGATTTTCTTTAGATAGTTTGCTTCACCAAGTTACCTCAAGAGCTAGTTGATTCCATCCTGGGTTTCTTAATCAATGACACCCAGTCCCTCAAGGCCTTCTCCATTGCCTCTTTCTGTGTCAAACCCAAGTTCATCTTTTCTATCAATTACACTTTGAGAACTGAGTGATAAGGTCACAGCAATAAAGTTTTCGGTGCCTCGTATCTTCCTATCGTCCCAACAGCTGTGAGGGGCCAATGTTTCGACTCGGGGAAGTATATGAGATGACTGGCATATATTGTCGCTTACAAGCGATAAAACTTATTCACATAATAGGGCATTACTGTCCCAGGATGTGCGAGCGGCCCTTCCTTCCCCTGCCTTCTAGTGCATCAATTTTCACCATGTAAAAGGTATCAAGGCTCTGATTTGATCTCCCTCGTTTCTGGCTCTCACGGCACCCTTCGCACATACATGTGATGAGTCTCCTTCTCCATGACTCAGCACTCTCGCCTAAAGTCTTTTTGAAACGACGTCCTTTCTATCACCGAGGCACGTATGTACTCTTGACATGCTGTTGCACAGTATGGCCGACATACATCGTCTGCAAAACCCTGTCGTTTCGGTTATGCCGCGGAGCGCCGATCGTATGGCATGTATGCCATCTCTTCTCCATCCTTGTTATCATTACATTGTCCTCATAGTATCGAACCAACTCGAGTCTTCTCGTCACCTCCAACTCTCAGGGTTACGAATCATCACTGCCCACGTATGGGACTACCGCTCTGATATCAACAGCCCCATCGACCGACTCCTGCTCGAGTGGTGGATCTGGAATCTCAGACAGTGCAGCGAGATTGAGTGCATCACCTTTTATGTCACTCTTGGTTTTTAATATAGGCGATTACGCTGTGTGGAAGGGTTTGCACAACCCCTTATTCGAGTCTGCCCTAACAACACTGGTTATAGAGGTGAATGCGGCACGTGCAGCGACAGATGTAGCCTCACCAAAGCCGGCCATCGAAAGCCAGATTATTGATGGTCTATTTGAATGATGGTTTCGAGCAGAGGAGGTTGGTCTTTCGGTCCTACAAACAGTATCAGAATGCTCTAGGTATTCAAAGAACCAACAAAATACTGACCTTCTCTAAATATACCATGGACATAAACTGGCTTGTAATAGCCTGTTCGAGAGTCCTGTCGGATGTTTCATGAGTGCACAAATGAGGGAAAGTGAGTCTGATGCATTGGATACCTGTGATGCCGTTGAAAATGAAAAGAGAGAGCCTCCTGCGACCAGACGAACCGCCAGCAATACTGGCTAGCGCGAAACTTGACGAAGCGCTGGGAATCGTCGAAATGTGACTGTCGTTATAGGAGGGAGCCGCTTGGCTGCCTGGAGAATAGTCTGCGAAGGAGTAACGAGCAGCTCATGATGATTAGTCCGAAACATGGTGGGAAAACAGAGAGAATGAGAGGAAAGAGAAACATTTTGTTTCCATGTCACCAACATCGAGAGTCGACATTTCTGAGAACTGGGATGGGTGTCAGCTGGATGCGTCAGCACAAGGATACAGACATATCTCAGCTTGCCAGTCAGCGACTGTTTCAAAATCGGTCCCGCTTTGATGCGTCGGATACATGTCGAGACTTCGGGCCAGGCCAGAGCGTCAGCCGGCCCAATAGGTTCTTGATGATCCCGCACGGATGGGAGAAACCAGAAGTTAGGGCATATACGGTTTTTTTGGTAAAAAAAAGTAATACGAATCAGGTTCGAAGGACTGTAGACACTATGATCGGAAAGCAGAACACTCAGACTTTCACAGTATATGGGAGACGACAGGATGCTCAAGTAGACAGAAATTTTGCCTGAGCAGCTTTTGAAGATAGGACACGTCGAAAAGATCTTAAAGCAGTATTTAGAGGGTGTGGAGATGCTTCCAAGCAAATGGGCTGTTGGACAGAAGTTGGACGCGCTGATATTGACGCTGTCGAAGGCGACGCTCTGTGAAGCGAGTCCGGTGGCAGAAGCCTCCACTTGACGTAGATGAATTCGATAGATTGTAAGCGATAAAACGCAAAGATAACAACAAAATGGTTCTCGATGTCCGTAAGCCTGTCGCTTGTAATGTTGTGAGCAGTCAGGGCTCTGGTACGTGGGAAGACTTCCGGAGCCTCTTGCAAACGTTGCCCAAGGAACGACGAAATTTATGGAACAAGTGAACTCAAGAGCGGTGGAGAAAAGAACGGCAGATGCTGGAGCAGATTTTGAGGGAGTGAAAGTCGGTGGCTAGAATGTAGCTCTTGAGGTAGCCTGTCAAAAGAGGACATCTACGAGGAAATCATTCTCTTCACGGGAACGATGGCATGGAATAGAGAATACCTTTATTTCTCCAAGACAATGGAAGAGAGGAGAGGAGATTTCTGATGATTACGAATAGGAGACCAATAATTGACGGTGCGCAGATTCTACACTGACTGCAAGCCGGGAGCCGCAGCCAGCGGCAACACCGGGCCGTGTCGGCACACGACGTCAATAAAACAAAAAAGGGAAAACCATTTCCTTTCGTGTGATTCGTTCCCACGGCACTGTTCGTGCCAACCACGTTTCTACAGTCGCGAGCTGATCAGTTGCTTATGACCCTGGATCGTTCTTATAGGAACAGCCTAAATAGCTTCTTACCGGTTACCCTTTACTTTTGAGTCCCTTCCCATCTGTTCTTTATCCGTGGTAAGAGGCTCTGTCCAGATTACTCACGCCGTCATAGATCCTACGATATCACTCGATACTTACCCCCGGGTACGGGTTTTTCACTGCCATGTTGGCGCTATGCTCTATCTAATCAACCGGTTCTACTGCACTGATATTGTCTTCTGATATGCCCTCTCCCAATTTCCAAACCCCCACTTCGGCGAACCCTCCTGACTAGAGCACGCAATTAATTGGTTTTAGGACGGGCACATGTGCAACAAGTCGTCTGCGGATAAGCGGCGTCATTTACATCGCTAGAGAAACGGCTATATACGGAAAACATTCCCATGGGTTCTTTTCCTCCCACCCCACCAATACCTCTCCGCATGCTGCAGGAGGAACTCGATTCTGATATCTCGGTTGAATTTACGGAATTTCTTGGACTTTGTGTGAGGGAGATAAGACTCGGTACGATGGGAGCTCTGTCCAGCCATGTCTTCTTACTGATACGATGCAGCCGCCTTCTTCACTTGTCAGAACCCTATAACGTAGTAGCGGCGGCACGTTGTCGATCCTAGAATCAGCACCTGTGGAGCATAAAGGAGCCAGCCAGATGAACTATGTCTTTTCAGTGTGGGTTCTGGGGGTGTGCCTAACGTTCCTCGTACCTGTGTCTCAACTTTGGACGGACCGACGAGCCATCCTCGTGATATCCGATGTCTTATCGCGAGTGTCCCCTGACTTGCATTATTTAATAATTCCAACCCTGTTTATCTTCGACACTCGTGATGCATGAACTGCTGACCTCGACACCACCCCCCTCCTCGAGGTCAGAACCACACCTGCTTTTCCTACGGTGGAGCTTATCACACAGAGAAGATTTCGCCCCCCCCCAGACGTCCTTCGTGTTCTAGTTCTGGTCCCTTCGACTCGAGAGCACCTAGTCCATTGCGTCAAGTGCACCCACACTGCAGGGTCAGTCAATTCTGATTGGAAAGCGCTCTCGGCAAAGGTCGCAGAGATTTGATCCAGACTCAAAGCGTGGATCTTCGACGTGCATTTAGTTCAACCTTGGAACCGAGACTCGTCTGTCCGACAAAGCACCGGTGCACAGCTCATCACTTACTCGATCCCCGAACGGATCTGCGAAAAAAATTGGCGGCGCTTTTTTTTTTCTCTCTCGACAATCATTTTACGGCGCAGCATTTAACTGCTGGAACACGTGTGCTCAGTGATGAGATCCAATGGAGGGCGGTACCATCTCTTTAAATTTTCCCAGCATTGCCGAGCTCATGTTCGCCCGGATCAAAGTGAGGGGACACAGCCAGCGCTCGGAGTGGTGTGGTATGTTCTATGGAAGGGTGTATGTAAGTGGTACGTCTCCCTCCAAGAACGGGATCTGACAGGATAATTTATTGTCCCGGTACAGTGGCGATTCGCGGACGCTATTGCTATCTATCCCCTTGGCGATCGATCATGATCTTGTCGACGGTGCTGATCGGAAACTGCCTAGGATTATTTTCTGCCAAAGCCGGCGGCAAAATTGTCCTAGAAGGATAGCAGTACTACTAGGAGGAGATATCTACTTCCGTCCCGAGACCAAGGTAATTATTTGATGAGGGAGCAGTACCAAAGAAAGTTGGTCGAAATGCAGCCGCTTACGCTGAGCATGACATCACGTCTCGGAGATTACACCCGATGTTCATGTCCATTAACAGACAGGAAGTACGCCACACTTCTTCTTTCAGCCGCCCCTCGAAGTGCATTTCTATAATAACGTACCTCTTTCTCTTTCTCGCAAGCCTTCGATAGAAAAAAAATCAAAACGTCAACTAATCAACGTTCCTCCGAGATCCATGCTGTTCTGCGTGAGAAATGAAAAAAATTAATTGTGCAGGGTCACGGCATGCTTTACGAAGGGGATAGACCGACAATCGTGCTTCGGGTCGCGCTTAGAGCGCGTCGCCGATCACGTGCACTTGAGGGCAAGGCCAGAGGACCCTCTTTTCTGTTTGAACCCATCATCTTCTATTTTGTGTATGAACACCGCAAGTCGGGCCCATACGCTCTGCATCCCTTTGCAACTGGATCCCCATGAATAAATTCTCTACCGCTGATTATTCGTCATTCTATCGATAGGAAAGCGAGCTCAGAAGCCTCTTTAGCGCCACAGCCCTTGGGTCTCGACTTGCGCCACGCAAGGGTTAATGATTCTGGATAGCACGCCATTTCTGTTCTCTGCTCTGCAAGCATTGAGGCCCTGATAAATGTGGGTGCTTATGGTATTCAAGATGGTTTTTAAGCCTTATGCGAACCGGTCAAGATTGCCACGACGTCATTTTACGTACTCGGCTAAAGGGGGAACAATAATAACAAATTCCGATGGATTCTTCTTGTCGACCTCTATCAATGCGGCGTGTGCCTACACTGGTCTGGAAGTCCGTGCCAGGGCTGCGGGCACATGGCTTCTTCAAAGAGGGGACCTTGTGCGGCGTGTGGGACCACCACCAGGACCACCACCAGCACACCGTTTTTCACAACGGGGCTCATTCGTTAAAGGGCTCAGTCCCAGCTCCTTCACCCAGAGGTATTCCCTACATTTTCGTCGTAAAAACAAACCCCTCATTCTCTTTATTTTTTTTCTTTGGTTTTCCCACAGTCCAAAATGCCTGAACTCCCACAGGAAATCATTGATGAAATCATCGATGAGCTGCGCTCGTCCAAATCTGCTACTCTAGCAGATCTGAAATCCTGCTCCCTCGTCTCGCGAGCTTTTGTGCCCCGTACGCGTGGCTACATGTTTCGCAGTGTCGAACTTAGGACGTGCCGGGATTGCGAGAGGTTTCTCGACATGTGTCACTCGTCATCGATCAATGCCGTTCCTGTACCCCCCGTTATCGTGGCTCTCCTGCTCACCCCCTCGCAGCGCGATCCCCGGCGCATGGAAACGAACGCGGCGCTCGTCGAGATCCTCACGACTTATCTGCGCAACTTGCGCCATCTCACCATCCAAGGCTGGACGTTCCCAATCACCCCTTCGGATTGCATGCATGCCTTCACGAATTATCCGTTTACCTCCCTGGCCCTCCAGTGTGTCACATTCCACGCTTTCTGCGATGTGATCGCGTTCATCAAGTCCTTTCCCACTCTTCGGCATCTCACGTTACTAAACGTAGAGGTACGCAAGTCTTTCTTCGTGGAGCTCGAACGGTACTCTCCGCCTATCCCATATCCACTACAGCTGGATAGCCTTTCGGTGTCTCAGCGCTTTCCATCCATATACGAAAGTTTGGTCCTCAGGGCAAATATCATGACTTTATCACGCGTTCGGCGACTCGCACTCTGTCTCCACAGTGGCGGGGACCGTGACTCGGCCCAGCAAATCATTAGCCAAGGGGCGGAAACCCTCGAACACCTTCACCTCATGTTCGGAAGCTTCAGTGAGTAAAAACCCTCACCCGCCTCTTAATTACTGTTTTCCCCGGTATCTGAAACCCAGGGTTTCTATATACAGTCGACGACATACCCGATCTCTCGCAGTACCTAAACCTGCCACGATTACGACAACTTGACATTACCCCGTTTATCCTCGAATACGGGACGACCAACTTTGGACAGATGGGAACATGGATAGAGCACCTCCGCCAGGCAGGGAGCGTCCTCGAGAACGTCAACCTGCGCGTGAGGCTCGGGCACGAGACGGATGTCTTCGACTCGGTCTGGTCGAAATTGGCTGCTATATTGTCGTTGACGCAGATTCGCGCCCTTTCGATATACGCGTTCCTCCATGAAGGCCTCCTCGCGTCGATGAATGTCGATAATGCCAGAATAAAGATCGAGAGCCATTTTGCGCACCTCCATCATCGGAGAGTGCGCGTCACCGTGGCGATGAAGGGTTCCAAGGATATGAAGAACCATATGTTACAGGTATTTTCCTCTGCTACGTACTGAATAGATATCTATACAATTCTCGTAATTTCCAGTTTTTTTAGAGTCCCGGAGATTCGTACGATTTACTTACATCTTCTTTTGTTTATCAGGGTTTGTCGTCGTATAATACTTACTTCCGTGATAATATAGTAATGGCCCATTCAAGTTTTCGTTCCACGGTCGTCAGACCAGCAGCCAATGATCAGATCGTGTCCGATTTTTACAGGTGCTGCTTGACCTTTTTCCATGAGCTTCGGCACCTTCTCAGGCAACAACCGGTTGACGCTACCTTCGTACCCTCATAATAAATGTATCCACAATCTCTATGAAAGGCATGGACAACGGTATTCATAGCTCCAGCGATACACGTTCGCCGAGAAACGAATCTCCCTTGTCCTAAATAAACTGGCAAAAGATCGCCATCGTTACGCTGAACGACATCAAGACTCAATCCTGATCGTCTCCAGCGTCTTTTCTCACGGGTACAACGGGTGGTGAGCAAACTGCGATGCTATCGTCGTTCGGATTTGAGTTAAAGGCCGCCGAAACCCAACTTGAAAGAGAAGATATACTTACTAGCGCGCCAGCATTCACGCGCACGTCCCGTGGAGATCAGATTGTGGTTCCGACAAGACCGCTAAGTCGAAGCGCACCAAATCAGAGAGAGAGGTACGACTGTGTAAAAAAAAGACTAAGTATGCCCTTCGAGGCTGCCAAGTCCAACGCAGTGAAATTGGGACGGAAAACATATAGTTGCCGGTGAGCGATGCCACGGGCCCCGTCGAAGAACATCTGTATTCGATGGGATGGGACGTCTGAAGGGTAATACGGCGCCGGCGCACGTCCGTAAGGGCTGATGGTAAAATGGAAGGTAGTGGCATCTCTTGGATATAGTAATAGCTCTCCGTATACCACTAGGACGCGACCAAGGCTCATCATAGCGAATGGTCCAACCTACGAGATCTACTTATTGACGGTGTCTGTCCAATTCCTTGTTTACTGCAGGGTTGGAGACAGTCGGACAGTGGACGTAGAAGCCTTGCAGTAAGAACGCAGTCGACCTACGGACCGGTACACCAGACAGAAAAGGGGCCTCATCGCTGAGTCAGCAAAACTGTCGCAAGGTACGATCGATACGATCATCGCAAGCTCCTCCTATATTGCGAAAGAAAATATGTCGGAACTGCAACTGTGGGATGCCGTTTGCAAAGCCTGGGGTTTACATGTCAATCAAGGCAAGTTCATCGATATCCTTCGTAAACCCTCTTCTTCTAAGCAGGACGCGGATTTGGTTCAGCAGTAAGTTCTTTTCTTTGAATGGCAGCAATCCAGCTCAATAATATCCAGGCTCAAAGAAGTGGCTGAGAATATTGAGATCCGTAATCCAGAAGTGAATTGGAGCGCCATGTATCTATCTATTATTTTGCCATTCTCTCAGACTAGATTCCTCATTAAACATTCTGTATTAGCCCAGCCTTGCGATTTGGCGGACATCTCAAGTATACATCATTTACAATCATCGAGTATATCGAGCTGATTTCTGCTAGTCTGCACCCTCTCGACTCGGTCCTCGTTCAGACACTGGATGGAAAGACTAATGCCGAAACGCCACAGGTCTTTCATGAGCAGAACAGCAGTGAATGTTCTCAGGAAGAGAAGACATTCTCCATTCCCTTGTATGCTATCATCCTCCGCAGCTGTCGTCAAAACTCCTGGCTTGGTCAAAGCGTCGAGAAAATCAACTTTCACATTCAATCTTGTCGCCGTGGTCCATTCATCGGAAGTAGCAATTTCGGATCAGTCAATATCTTATACGACACTGCGAACAAGATGGTTTTTGCTGAAAAGCGCTGCACTCTTCCGCATGGCAGACCGGCCCTGGCGAACGAAAAGAGCTTACTCAAACGTTTGGATCACATTCACATCGTTCGATTTATTGGTAGGTTCGCAGGGTATATCGGTTGTTGTACAAGCTAATGTATCTGGGTAGGTTCTTCTTATGAAGCTTTTGAATTAAGCGTGATTATGGAGTACGTCTCCGGTGGTACAGTCGAAGGCATGGTAAAAACGCTAGGTAAGATACCCGAAGATGATGCTCGTGCTGTCGCTCGTCAAGTTCTCGATGGACTTAGGTACTTGCACAGCCAGGACCCGCCCGTAGTCCACAGGGATATCAAAGGTGCCAATCTATTGATTACCCTCCACGGATGCGTCAAGATCGCCGATCTTGGCCTCGTGAAACCATTACTTGGTGAGTCGTTGCTGCAGCTTTCATTATACGGCACTTGAACTCTCTGATTAGAGAACACGCGAACATTTGCGGGAATTGTTCCCTGGATGGCTCCCGAAATAATCAATAATACCAATCATGGGACGAGGGTCGATGTTTGGAGTTTCGGGTGTACGATTATTGAGATGCTGTGTGGTGGCCATCCGTGGACACGGGAAGGACTTGGGCACTTTGATGCGATGAAAAGGGTAACTTTAGATGCTTTCTCTGGTCACAGCGACTCACGACGTTTCATAGATTACTGCGTTTAACATGCCTATACCAGATAGCATCTCTCTTGAGCTCCAGGACATATTTGCACATATTTTCGTTGCATCTGATGAAAGGAAATCGGTCAGCGATTTGTGGATGGGTTGCGACTGGATATGGACCAAGAAGAACAAGCAGACTTGAGGTAGTATTCAGTGCTCACATAATAAAATAATAACAAACGCCAATATCGTCCTTTTGTCAATGCTTCGGTGTACTAAGAGCAATTTCTGAGAAGAGAAAAACTAACTTTCATTCAAGATTTACCTGACTGTCTTGGCTCTGTGGGAATTAAGTGAGCAGCTTGACAGCCCGAAAGGCTTTATACCAGAGATGATGCAAGATTCATCACGCTCGAGAATCGAAGTTCTAGAAAGGGACATCAGAATGGCACCTTCGACATCGGGGATCGTTAGGGGCACAACGTTTATGACCTATTTTCTTTTTTTGAGGCGACACGGGTTACAGCTTTCAGGATGACTTCCTGAGAAATTTGCTGATATTGAGGAATACTCACTGCTTCAGGCTGGACTCTGACTTTATGGGAGTAGCGAGCGGACTTGTATCGGACGCATTGTTGATATCTGAGGCTGTTGTCCCAGCTCGCAGTGATTTGCAGGGCCCGTCCCAGTTTGGAGGGCTCAGGATATATCCACGAGTTGACCGGTCGGAGAGCGCTGAGAGTTGGTAAACAACAATGTTAAATTATCTCTAGATGATGAACGCCGCGGAGTCAGACGACGAAGAATACCCTAACTTAACCTTCGCGACACAAAGTGCAGCAGAGGACATAAAAAGAGTTGAGCTATACCACGCCACGAACGCCTTTATTCGATATCTGGCCCAGGGCCGATGGAAACATGAAAGATAGCAACAGCCAGCACGCAAATAAGCTCCGGTAACATAGAACCTCGGCAGATATGAACTGACTGAGAAACAAACCCCATCTTCTCTGATGATTTTATCAATGGTTAATCATAACGGCCGTGAGGAAAAAAAGATTCACTCGGCAGTTATAGTCCTAAAACATGATGATTTTGACCTATATAACAACGAATGTCTGGGTAATTATAACTAAATCCTGGGACCAACGCCAAGTGCAATGTTATACGTATAGGTTAGGTAGGTAATGCAAAGTCCGTGTACCATGGAGGCGAGGGGGAGGGGTCCTTGATTATACTAAGAAGGAAGAGAATGGCAAAGCGAAACACAGTCATAACCGAGTCGTAATTAAGAAAAATCCAAGAAAGTCCGACAACCAGAAAACAGGGAAAGCAAGGTGCATCAAAATCAGAAATTCAATAACCGATCAACCATCGCATTGATGGACGACTTCCTCGCTGTCAGGTCAACACCAAAGTGATCCTCCAGCTGTCTCCGTAAATCCTTCTTGGTCACTAGGTTTAGGTCCGCCGTGCGCAGAATGTCTTGGAGCACACCCTCCAGCTCAGCATCGCTCGGACCAGGAGAAGCATTGGGACTTCGACTTGTAGGGATGGGAATGTCGAGGTAGTTTGAGACTGGTCGCGATGGCGCTGGCTGGTACAACGTGCTGTTTGCCAGTCCCGCTTGAGGCTGAGGCATGTACATCTGCGGGGTATTACGCCCTGACTGATATCCGGGCGGCGGGTACATCCCAACTGATGGCGCTGGGGAATATGTGCGGGGTCCTGGCTCGTAGTACGTCTCGCGACCATACAAAGAAGCAGTGTGAGATTCGGCATATCCTGCTTCGTTTTTGAACTTCGAGGGCGGAACCCAGGAACCAATGCTGTGATTGGATTCTTTGTCCCATAGCTCGTTTTCCTAGGGCAAGATGTCAGACATTAATTGTATTGGAAAGGCTCAGCACTCACGTAGTCATTCCATGATTTGAGGGGGATAGAACGTGGATCGAACTTGCCCTCATCCTAAAGAACATCACGTCAGCCGGACATTAACCTCTAAAATAGACGATACATACGTGCACGATCATCTTCTTGCCAGACTCACCCATAACGACACGAGTGGCACCCCACGAGAAGTCGTCCATTTTCCAGAACGAGTACAACGGCAGCGCGAACGAGAATGCGGGGATAGCAATGAGGTAGAAGATCATCCAACCAATCATGTCCCATTTTCGTCGTAGTATGAACACCAACGCTTGGAGGCCGTAGACAGCGGCAATCATGACCAGCGACAGCGTCGGTATTGACTTGCCTTCGGCGGCGACGAGAACAATCAAATAAACGATCTGTTTAAGGCAATAAGCTTGAAGCACAAATAAAGAAAGCATCATGCACCCACGTAAGCCACCGTAACAGGCTGAATCAGGGTCGACACCAAATCAATCAGGACGATAAACCGCATGGAGAAACAGCAGAAACCACAAAGCTGGTCCAAGAAGATGAGTTCACCCAAATTGTGAACCGTGGAGTTGATCCACCGCCGACGCTGAGATAATAGCACCTTCCAATCGTCCGGCGCCACTGTGTATGCATGTGCGTCCCGTACAAACTGCGTCTTGAACAACGGGAAGTGCTTGAGAAGTAACGTCGTCAGATAACGATCCTCTCCCAAATGCAAGAGATTCTTCATGTGGAGTGTATCTACACGATTTTCCGAATAATCATCGAGCATCTGGTTGGAGATAATTAGAGGCTTGTGAGTATCCGGTGTACGCAGGCGGTACAGGGTGAAACAACCGGGCAAACAGGTGACAGAGCCGAACAGACTTTCAAATGCTTTCGCCATATGGTGGGAGATGAAATATTCGTAGACCTAGAGGCATAATTAGAAACGGGGTGAGCAAAGTCGAGGCAACTACAGACCTGCATCATGGTGACGATGGATTGCTTAGCATTCGCCAGCTCTGTTTCGCCACAGACGCCCAACACCTTCTTATCGTGGATCATTCTAACGAAGAAATATCATCAGTCGGCTATCTCGGACGAAGGTAAATGACATACGCAGAAATAAGCCGATTGACCGAGAAAGGATCAACTGTCGTATCGGCATCCACCATGAACAAATACTCGTAGAAAGTCGGGTTAACGCCGATAACGTTCTTGATTTGATGATACATCTCCAGCTCCATAGGGTTCATAGGCGCGTTGAAGTGTACCTAACATGCCTTGATGAGAACTAAGGGATCAAACATATAACATCACTCTTACCTTGTTCAAGAAGTGCATGAGAAGCAACTGAGAGTCACGTTTTCCACGATTACCCGGTCTCGATCGTTCCGTAGGCTTTCCAATCTTCACCAGCACCAGATAAGGCACGACGTGCCCTGAACACTCATACAGACCAGAGTACACCTTGCCCATATTGTGCTGCTTCGCACCTTCACCCAACGACTGGAAGCTCAGAGGCTCCGGGTCGAGGTTAGGATCAGCACCAAGAATATCGAGCACAATTCGCGGCGTTGGACGATCATTACCGGAACCGACAATCATACCATCGCAGATGACAACCAAAAGCTTCCGCTTGTCGTCATACTTCATCTGCGCGAGCGAATCGATAGTCCTGCGGAGCGAACCATCCCCTTCAGTATAACAAGGCACCTGACAAATAACGAATTTATCATGGTCTTCCGGTGCGCGAGCTGAACCAAAGTTGACCGAGGCCAAGAACTTGAACCCGATGACCGAAACCATGACCACGGAAATGGCGAGAAGTAGATAAGTCGCGAACTGGCATTGTGTTGAATTCCGATTGTCGACCTTGCCTAGAAGGAACAGGTTGCGTAGGCAGACCTTCTGGCGCTCCAATACGGCACTATCGAGGTTCAGGCTGTTGATCTTCTTGGTCACGTCACCGCCAGCGTCGAACTTGAACACGTCCAAAATGCTGCTGTCAATGAAATCGGTGTCGATGTCGGCCGGCGCTTGATAACCTGCGGGTGCTTTGATAGCAGGAGGATAATTGATGTAATCCGATAAGTCGTATATCATGCCGTCATAAACAGCGACTGAGCTTCCAGTTTTAGCCATGTTACTGATTTCCTTGGGTGTGTAGCCCATAAAACCGACGCGAGCAGTATACCGCATCTGGATCATGCTCTCAAAGTACCAATCAGGCCGAGAATCATTAGTGAACACTCGGAAGTCATGATACACCGAATTCGTGTCGGTGTTGTTCGATGAGTCCAAGGTAATATATGGGCTGACAGTTCCAGTTGTACCACTGCACAAGGCGCTGACCTAAACCCATCATCATTAGGTCATTCATTACTATGAGAGTGCATCGACTACATACCTGAACTGGGAAGATATTATCAGACGATGTTCCACCGTAGGAGAGAATCCGCTTTTTCGGAACGACGTCGACAACTCGCAGATGCGTAGCCTCGACGATTGAAAGATCGAACACTTCTCCTCGAATAGAAGTATATACCAGATCAGCATTACTGTTGTATGACGCCAGTTCCGACGTGCTGTAGACATGCTCTGTCGGACAGATCAGGTCCCCAAGGAAGACAATAACGAAAACCGTGCAACCGCAAATGAACCAGATCAACATGTTGAGCGCCAGCTTCTCTCGCCATGCCTGCCGGACATCCATACGCTTCATTCTACCGATCAATCTCAACAGAAAGTTTGGCATCCAGAATGTGAGCATCCAACAAATGGCAACCCAGCGTCGACGAGCAGAGCTCTCCTTCAAGATCTCCGTGGTCTCGCCATCTTGGATCTCACCAGGGAGCGCATCCTTGTCCATGAGACCGTTTTTGTCAGCGTTCTGGAACATGTTCCGGGAAGGAGCGTACGACTCTGAGCCAAGATTTGACACAGAATCCGCTGGCTGGCTCGTAAACCTGCTGCGAGCATCAAAATCATCACTACGAACTGAACGATTCTCATCGAATTCGTCATCGTAGGCGTCGGCACGTTGGAATGGGGAAGCGTTGGCGACAAGGGGGAGCTGTTGGCTGGAAGCACTGTACGCATCACCGTATCCTGCCTGGTAAGACCCTTCAAGATCGGGAGACTGAGGATAAGGACCATAGGGATCAGCAAGGGATCTGGGGTTAAGCCCAGCTTCGGCCTCAGCATCCCGTAGACGATTGCGTTTCTGCTCATCAACGTCTCGGATACGAAGCTGATCCTCGAACTTGTGGAATGCTGACTGTGACAGGAACACCTAGAGAATGTGAATATGAGTTAGCGACTGTGGCCCTCAACAAATAGAAAGTAGAAGCATACCTTGTGCTGTCCGAGGACAACATCGGCTTCCCCTAAACCAAAAGCCATAGCAGCGCTCTCCACCCGGTCATTGGGATCACCATCCTCGACGCTGGCAGCCTCCAAGCCATCCCTATATCTCTCGCAGAACTCTTCAGGTGACATACCAACCTCGAAGACGTTAACATTTCTCCGCGCAACCTCAGTCAGACCGATACTCCGAACCTGACCCTTGACGCTTCGCCCCTCGAGCTGGTTGGGCAGTTGCGAGTCATTGGGGTTGATGCAAAAGACATACCACGGCTGCGTGTCGTCGAGGGTGTCGAACAGCGTATCGAGCGCCGACTTAAACTCCCCGGCGATACAAGGGTTCCCGCTAGTTGGCACGAGGGCTTCCTCTTCGTCTCGCACGGTCTCCTCTATATCAGCCAGCGACTCTCTGACAGTCGGCATCCTTCGGACACCGCTCTTACGACGCGTCGATGGCGCTCGCATGGGCTTGACAACTTGCTGGGCCGAGACAATGGTATCCTCGTTCCTAGGATGGGCTTGCGTCGCGATAGCCTTGGTCGAAAACAAACCCTTCACGAAGGGGTTGATAGACCCCGACCTCTCCGTTGCATCGGCAACTCCTCGGAGCAGGGACACGAAATCGGGGCTCACTGCATCCAAGTTCCGCTCGAGGAAGCCTTCTGACGAGTACGCCACTGGACCATTATAGTGGTTCACAGTGAAAGTTGGGAACCCGGACCGGTCTGCTCCACCGGTCTTGAACGACGAGTGGTTACCCCAGCGTTTCTGGAAAGACTCCACCATAGTGTGGTTGGTTTTCTTGGGCGCGCGTCGGGCTTGGTCATCCATGATATGGATAAGACCACCTGGTCGGTTCTGCAGGACTCGTACACACTCAGAGTTGTCGAAATAAGGGACCTGGGGGATAAAGCGGGAGATTCCTTCGGTAGCATATTCGTCAACATGGCTCTCGAACAAACGCTTCTGCACCCAATTGTGCAAGCGCTCGTTTGCAAAGTTGATGCAGAACTGATCGAGGGAGTTGGGGCGACTGGTCATGTTCTGAGGACCGGGAAGATCAAAGAGACCGATAAAGGTGGAGAAATCGTCTTTGCAGAGGCGCTGGTTGATGTGCTCGTTCAACCAGGCAAAGAGCAGGGAATAAAGGGTTTTAGCGAGGTCATCCCGGTTGTCAGATGCACCATCAGGGTCAAGGAAGACAGTGCAAAGCTCCTTCTTCAATAGCTTCGTCTTGTACGACAATGCAGACTCCAAATCGGAGGCTTGCACGCCCAAGAAATCGGCCACAATTGCGAGGACGTCCATGTTCCGGACGACTGCTGCATCCTCGTTGCGATGCCTGTCGATAGTGAATTCAAGATTACCTAGGTGAAGAATGGCGGCAATGAGCTGACAGGTCTGGGCGACATGGCGCTTTGAGAATCCGATTGTCTTCAGTGCCACCTTGAGCTGGTCGAATCTGACGGCATCATTATCCCTAGCGCCGGCGTTGGCTGCTGTCCTTTGGCCGAGATAGCGATAGGTAGTTTTGTCTAGGATATGCAGATGTTGTCGTTCCTCTTCAGAGGCACCGGCGACGAGATAGTAGAAAATATGAAAATTGCGCTCGCCCGACGGCGCACCAGCAACCCGATTCCTCTCGAGGTAATAGTCGAGGGTCTTGATACCACATATACGGCCCCGGTCACTGAACTGCAACTCTGTGTATTTTCCGAAGCGAGACGCGTTCGGGTTGAAGAGGGTGCGAGCATTGCCAAAAGCCTCGAGCACGAACTCTGATGCTGGGACTTGAGCGCCTAGCTTGGCGCCCTTCTTCCCTGGGTTGCTCACGCTGAGCTCTAGAATGCTTTTGATGGCCAATCGTCGATTTTCCGACTTTCCACTGGCTGTCTCACCACTGTGTCACCGTGAGAATGGGTAAAAGAGAGGCATCCAGAAACGCACCTGAAAAGCATGCACTGATCCTGCGTCGTCCGTCGCATGTGGTAGTACGCGTTGTTTGCCATCTGAAAGATATGAGGCGGCATCGGTTCTTGGTTTTGAGAGGTATCACGGTACTCTGCTGCATATTTCTGCATGACAGAGTCGGAGTTGGATGGGATATATTTGTGGGGGTTGAGGGCGACGAGGGCAGAGGTACCGACGGCTGTGTAGACATTGTCATTCATGAACCGTTCTCTAAGGCATGCGACGATGATGTCGTCAGAGATAGGCGACAGCTTGGAGAGGTCTGTCACCGCCTCCAGGCGTTGGTGGATGGTGGACTGACGATTCATCGTCGACATGATGGCAAAGCGACGGCCAGAACGTTAAAAGATCGTTAGAGGAGCTGCAGCCTGGCAGCAGAGCACAGGGAAATGACAGCAGGAAGGCCCGTCGTCGTCGGCGTTGACGGTGAGAGACGAAAAACGCCGTCGCCGTGATGGATGGCGACCGGATTGAGATCCTCACGTGGCAGGGTATTGCCCGTTTACTCCGTTTATGGAAATTATCGGACAAAATACACCTCAAATTGACACCAGAGCAAGACTAAAGCGTTTCAGCACGGGTTGCCTTCATTTTTAAGTGACACCAGAGTCACTGCTGGGGTGGATCGGTATTTCTGACGGGTCTAATCTTGTCACGTATTTTGGTACATTTTTTGTCTACAAATCCAAGTAAATGACAAGATTTGACCCGTCAGAAATACCAATCCACCCCAGCAGTGAGTATGTGCATGTGCTGCTACTGAAAGTCATCATTTTCTCTAATTTTTATACCTTGCAGGAATTTATTCAGGACTGTAATTTGCAAAACTGTTGCCTCGCGACCTCCATGCAGTGACAACTATTCTGTACACGATCGAGCTAAATAAGAATAACGGCGCCAGAAACCCTTATCGGTGTGGTATTCTTTGTTTTAAAAAAAGTTAGTTTTCGCGGGTACAAAGTCCCACGATTCTTATCATGAAACTCGTTCAATTGATTTGCTCGCATTTCAAGGATCTCGACCCCAGCTAGGCATTTCTTTCCATGCAGACACGGCCGTAAAGAGCCCACATAATCACCCGGACTGTTCACACGTCCATCCGGACGCTTTGATACCCAGGCACCGGAAAGTATACTTTATATTCGTTCCGTCTAGCTTTTGACCTTTTTCTCCAGATTTTCGTGGGGGACGCGATGAAGTATGAACGGCGAACGCAGTATTCGAATTGGAAGAGATCTTTGCTCCTCCGGGAAGGTTCGCATAATATTCTTCGCCTCGCGTTTACGTGTAATGATTATCACCTCTTCGATCCGCAGCCACCCTGAAGCCGAAAATATCTCAAACGATGCCCATATCATGCATATGCGTGTCCAGTAGCTAAAGACACGCACTGCGCCGTGGCTATAGCTGCAAACTTCCTCATTATTTCTCATGGACGTGACAATGACAAGAAAATGCAAACATCCGTATGTATAAAGCCGCAATGAAAATAAACATATAATAACCATGCACAGCTACGGTACCAGACAAGCCATAGCACCCTTACTCAGAACCGTCCAGGTGGCTGCAACAAACCAGATGTCACCAAACCCAGTAACAAACGAGCTCAAGCAACGTTACTTACACTTATATTCTCCCACTCCTGTATCCGGCCACCCACATTTATCAACGGCGGCACCGTCGGTCGTCGATTAAGCCACGAGCTCGGAAGCTCCCTGCCTCGAGTTTTGCTCTCAGATTCCCGCGGTCGCCACTTCCCCCGGATCCTCTCAAGCATCTCCCTCGCTTCTGCCGCCTTCTCCCTTTCCTGAAAATCCCGCTCCCGCTGATCCACCATTCTCAACCTCTCATAATAATCTCTCTCCTTCGCACCATGTTCTTGAGCCGCACGCTCCAACTCCCTCTCTTTCACCTGCAACCTCTTCTCCCACCGTATAAGTTCCTCCGCCCTCAGCAGCGACGCCAACTCCCTATCCCCCTCCTCCTGCACCTCCCTCCTCAAAGCCCGTACCTCCTTCTTCTTCTCGTCCTCCACCTCCGCACGCAACCTAGCAGGAGACGGATACACCACACGCTCCCCATAGTCCTCCTCATCGCCCGCCCGTCTCCTCGCACGCTCCAGCTCCATCTCCTCCGTCGACTTCTGCAGCTTATACAGCTTCCCCATAACCTCCACATATTCCTTGATCACATGCGCCCCAATCCCCCCAAACGTCGTAGACCACGGGACGGTGAATTTGATCTCTCCTGACGGCGTAAAGTGATATGACGGCCGGAGCGCGTCAGCGATGCGATTTCGAAGCTGCGTCTTCCAGGCATCGGACGGCTCGCGAAGTAGTAGTTCAGACGACATGGCGCTGGGGGATGATGATGAGAGCGTGAAAGACGCAGGGGCATAGACATATAGCCATAGCCTTGCGGATGCCTCGTGCCGGGCAGGTGGACATCCCATGATCATTATCGGACAATCTGTGTCGTGACGTCCTTGCGTCAAAGGTCCGGTCACACTCCCATCAAGCCCTTCATTTCGGAAGGGGGTTTCGCCAACCAATTTGGACTGGGGTGGAGGCGCTGATTTCGCGTTTTGTGCCTCTTCACTCCTGGGCCCTGGAGCTGTAAATGAAAACAGGAGCGTTTCGCTTTCTATATAGCTTCTGAGAATAGTCTTCCGACATAATCATGACGTCGGGGGGGAAGAAGAGCCGGTCCCATGATGCTGCCTTCAAAGCTACTCTCGCAGGATCACGTTAATCCCCCACAAGATTGTGAGTATGTGTCGAAACCAGGGCCGTTCACGACGCGTACTGATTCTTATCCAGAGCTTCACTGTACTATGGCTCCAGTTCACCAATAATGTAATCTATATTATGAAGAAACAAGTCCTTACAGAGCAGTAAAGCCGAGACGTTCAGCTTCACAACGTATCTAATCACAGCACAACACCATAGGTTTTGATCGGCCTCTTCCGTGAAACTCCCGTTCTATAGACTAGTACCTATCAGAATGGAACCGAGCAACAACCATTCCACAGCTCATAAGATCCTTAACCACCAGCCCCAGCTCCTCTGGGCGTACAGTACTTCATGAAATCAGCAATGCTCCAAGCAGCGCTCGCAAAGGAACTGCTCATGGACATCGGCCTGGCTTGATCGGCTACGTTGAGACCCCCATCATGCGTTTTGGGAGGGGAGGGTTCAATGACGCGCAGATCATCATCCAAGCAAGGCTATATCTATATCTTTCGGGAGGGTCGTCCAGTTCTTCATCGTCCCAGAGAAATGTACTCGGTCACCCTTCCCTCCATAGAAAGATACGCCACACGGCCAAGTCGTGACCAAAGTTATAGACGTCAGTCATCAGTGTCTGGCGTGACTCCGAGCTCGCTACATGTCGTATCAGGCGTGGAAGTGAAGATCGTAATAGCGTACCACACCGAATCTCGCACCACTAGCTTCGGCGATCTTTATATTAAAACAGTTTACCCGTCATCTCTGGAATCCGAGGGTAGGACCCCCCGAGTGGCGGGTCATACGGCATCTTCTTCAAAATACATTGTCGTGTACCAGTTCCATTCCACAAACGCGATTGTTCGCCGTGATCCCCAGCGTCAAAAAGCAAGAAGATGCAGAGCGAGCTTATTTAAAGCCTCTGCCGTTATTCTTCGCAGGGTCCAGTGAGAACAGGGCAGTAGCGAGTAACATTCACCGCAGGAAAAGACGTGGGATGACATCAGGAATGTTGTTCGTCAGCGCGCACAGAGCAACAGGCTGAGGCTGTATTGGCATTTTTCCCTGCGAAGGAAGAAGGATGGATGTTCAGCTCCTTTGCGCGCTGATAGGCTTCACCATATTCCCCTGGAGAATCCTTCTCGAGTGCGCCGGGCTTCCTGAGAACGTTTGATCCCACTATAATCATGACGTCGGTGAGAAGAAGGGGGCCCATATGGTGGCGCATGAAGTCCCAAAAGTAGCAGGGCTCACCATTGGTGAGGAAGAAATTTGGAGCGGGCAATTGCAGAGTCGCCAAGGGCGTTGAAGCACATTCGGACAACTGGGCGATAAGAAGAGGCGGACTCGGGGGGGGATCGGTGTTATGTAGGGCCCCAGTTCGCTGGTAGGTACCCGCCGAGTACTTGTGGCCAAGTCAATGGATGGCAGAGGATACCCCATGGAATTTATTTTCGGCAGATGTGAGTTTGGGGAGCCTCTGTAGACTGCATTCTAGTCTTCGGTTAGCCTCGTCAAATGGTGGGGCGAGTGCGGAAAGGGAGAGTTTGTTTGCGACAAGCAGATGCGCGTCAGCAGGCTTGATGGTTCTGTAGCTTGATTAAGCTACTTTGAAGCCAAGGCCCCGTGTGAGTCTTCTCCCACTCCTCGTAATGTTCAATGCTGACCGAAATATTTCAGTGCCAATTGTCTGTATGTATTTGTGTAGCCCTGTCTTTGTCGCACTGAATCGAGAGGACTTGGGAGTGCTGCAGCGGAATAGTTAACTACACAGCCACACCCAGTCCAGACCCTTTTGTAATCATTCTAGGTGGCGTTCACGTGAGGTTTTGACGTCTTGTTCCTTTACTTCCACAGAAGCAAAGGATAAGCTGGCAGTGACAGCGACTGCTGCCCTTGCTGGCAGTACGTTGGGTGGCCTTTCTTTAGCCGTCCTTTACTAACTCTTTACTTCTTTCTAAGAAACCGTAGCGAACGGCTACCTCGTGCTTGATTTTCCTACACGCGACTTGTAATTCTGAACGTTTACCTCGAGGCTGTACACAATCGCCACATCGTGGGTGTATCATTGATACACCTCCTTATTGGTTCTCTTTTACTCCATGTCGAGCAAGAATTTCAACGGAAATCCACCCAAGTAAATTCGAACCCCCTTCGTAATATGATCATCATCTGATGTTTACTTCTCAGGTATATCAATGACTTTAGCAAGGCGCTTGCCAGTGAAGTTCGGATTCTGCTGGCAGAGGTGGGGAAACTGAGGGACGAACGACGGGCGCTGCAGTAGTACGTCTGTTAGTTCTACTGCGCGGCCGCCGCCTCTCATGATTCATTAGCGAAATAGCCGAACTCATGAGCGTCAAGTCGAAGCACGGCGCTGGAGGAGAGTACTCGCCAGAGTGGCAGCCGGTGCGTTGACTCTTTCTTTTCTTCCTTTAATGCAGGCCTTGATGATTTTCAGCCCTCCGAGCCGCAAGGCTTTGTCGCTCCCCTTCCCCCACCGGCGCCGCTGCCTCCAATGGACGAAGGACCTCCACCTCCAGCACGGCCGGCATGGCGCACGGTCCATAAACGTGCGGAAAGGAAGGAGAAAGCAATCGCAAAGCTCATGCCAACCTCTGTCCCCGCGCCGTCTGCCGTTCCGCCTCTTGAGCCCCCACGACCAAACATACCAGCATGGGCGCAATGGAGGCGTACGTTCCGACTCGTTGCTTGTTTTTTCTTTCTTCGCGTTCACTGATGACCCAATATAGCGAACACTCTCCTCTCACCGGCGCCCGTCATGGCAACACCAGCCGTGCCGCTCCCTACTTCTCCCCCACCGCCTAGCCGTTCAGGCCTTTTCGGTTCGTGCTTATTATCAATGGTCGTTGTCGTACTCCAACATGTCTACAAATTCAGGGCCCCCGACTCCTCCCTTGAAGTAGACGGATCTACATTGAAACAACACATCAACAAGCATTTATGTAACACCACCCCATCTTTTGCTTTTCTAGAAACTTCTCATCGGATTTTCTACAACACAACAAGCATTTTCTACACCATCTTTCTGCTTCTTATCGTACACATTCGTGGCGCATTGCTTTTTATTTCATTGGCTTTCCTGCTAGCTTTCTCCCATGTAACGACAGCTTTCTTTCCTTTTTGTACGGAACCAATTGTAATGTACCTTTTTTTTTTTACCTATTTGCCCTCCCACGTCAAACATCCCCGGTCCGAGTATTGGATTATTCTCGCGCGCTTAACAAGGAACACTTGCAGACGCGACTTCGCCCACTTTGGAGATATGTTATCGGTGTTCCCAAGGATCGGGAGAATCCTGACCTGGATTAAAGGCCGTCCCTTCTACACACGGAACCAGTGGTACACCTGATCGACTGTCATCGGAAGGAACGGTTCTACATTTACTATCAGTAGATCTCAGATTCGGCACATCCTGGCCGACCGACCTTCTTCATGGAACTGCACACGGTGGAAATTCTTAAGCTTTGTGGGCCGAAGGGATTCTGAACTTGTGCAGCAGAACAAAAAGCAGCCAGTGACGAGGTCACCCCGCCTACAGCCCGGAGAAATTACACGTAGCGCGCACTCGGCCCCCCCGGGTAAGTGAAAGTGGAAGGTTAGTATAGGCAAACCGAAGGAAATGGCCATCCAACCCTTCACCGCCAAGCTTCGTTGTAGAGGCAGAGGTCAACACCCTAGGGAATGGGTACGTCAATTTGAAGCTCTACAACTTCCTCGTCATCGCCTATAGGCCTGGTAATACTTTCGCGGTGCACCCCTTTTGGCCGGGTTTAGCGGAGGAATCTTCGCTGGGCTATAGTCAGAGTTGTGCGTATGAGCGGCGCTGCTGCGATGTTTAGGGAAGAGAGAGAGGTGAACAATAGGAGAATCTCTCCGTCTTGTCATCCTTGCATGCCCATCTGGACAAGTTTGCAGTGAAAAGTAGAGTGGCTTCCGATGCGTAACTTGCACTGAAGAGTCAATTTACGGGTTTCGCCGTATGGTAGTTCTATATACCTATACTAGCTCGTTCGAGCGAGGATTACCACCTGATATAGTGTGCCAATACCAGGTCAGCGTTAACTGATCACGAGCCAATTATTCTATCGATTGCAACTTGAAGGACGTCTGTTGGATACACGAGCCTAGCGAGTTAGGAAGAGACAATTCATGTACTTAAAGTGCACGGCGAGTATACATCGTGCTTATCTGGATTTTTATTCCCTCTTCGCTTTCTTCATCAGAAACTATCCATAATCGAAGAATCGTATTACCATGGTATTAATAAATATACGGTACACCGTCCGGAAACTCCTCCTTTATCTGTTTCTCCATTTCCTCAATCTTCATCCTCTCCAACTCCGCCTCAAAGGACAAACCCCCATCGACATTCCCCACGGGAAACACCCTACAAAGAACCCAATATATAACCGCCCCCATCCCGAAACTCACAAGCCATCCCAAGTCAAATATCTCCGCAGCCACCTCGCCTATCACTACGCCCCCAAAACTCTGCACGAACCCCGGGAAGGGCACGCCCATCCCCGCAACGAACGCGATGATTGCTCGCCAGTTGACCCCTCGGGTATAGTAGTACGCGCCGTCCCGCGCGCCAGTGTACAGACTCGCCGGCTGGAGGTTTCCCCTACGCACCAAAAAGTAGTCGACGATCCTGTTCGTTAGTGAGGGGGCTCAAAGTAAAAAAAAAATAAGAATAAAAATAAAACAGGCGGGTTTACGCACATAATACCAACGACAGGTCCCATGAATATCGAGTACCCGTTGAGGAACGTCAGGAAGCCCGGCGCGCCCGAGAGGATCCGCCAGGGGAATACGGCGAAGCCCATCACCGCGCAAAGGAGCTGAAAAAAAAAAAAACAAAAACCCAGGCGGGTTCAAAAAAAATATAACGGATCGAAAAAATCGCAATTGGACGCACCTGTCCCCGGACGATGGTGAGATGTCTTGGCAACAAAGCCGTAATGTCGGATCCGAAAGGGATGGTATTCTAGGATGATCAGCGTGTGGTGCTCGAACAGAACTAATGTATGAGGCGCATACATCAGCGATAGAGGTCCCGATTGTCGAGAAGATGAACGCAGCGGATGCGAAGAAGCATCCTGCTCTGGCAGACGAAGACGTGTCGTAGTCAAGCATCGCGTTTAGGAGATCGTACGGCTTCCCCAACCAGCTTTCAGTCAAGGATCGATCGATCGACCGTGTGTGAAACTCACGTTCCAATATGCGGTACCCCACTGGTGGTGCACCGCCGCCGTCACCATGATCCCGCATGTTGCCCACAAGGTCTGTCCGAGGGGAAGGGAGAAGAGCTGGCCTTGGGTCTGCGCGCTGCGATGGCGCGCATAGCGTGTTATGTCTGGTATGGTTACGAGGAGCGCGGAGCTGAGGGCCGGTTAGAAGTTGGTTGTGACAGACTGCGGAGAACCTACTTGGTCCCCATCACGCTGTTGAATTGGCTGAGATGAAGTGTCAGGATGTAATGTATAGAGGAAGGGGGAGAGAATACGAGGGTTCGTACGCGATGATTGCCCATGCCAGAGTCGGTCCGGTCGACTGCGCAGCGCCGAAGCTCATACCCGTAAACCCATGGTTCTTCTTGAGCGCCCAGATCAGTATACCCAGTCCTGTGGGTGGTAACAAGAAACTCTGAAAACCAGTCCAGCGGGACCCTTAAAAAATCAAGTCCACACTCACCTTGGCAATGAAAAGCCACCTTGTCTTGTAAGGAGGTATAAATAAAAACCCCACATTTACAACCCAAAAAATAGAAAAACCAGCCAGGTCCCTTGAGGTAATTCCTATGCTCTCCGGGATGTGATTCTCTATGGTGTACCACGACGGCCATATACACCGTAGACATATTGAAACAAAGTAGCCGCCAAAGGTGCACTGTATACCAAACCACACGATCCCTAGCATGCTGCGGACGACGATAGCAAAAAAGCTTCCCGAGATCCCAAATGACGTCCGTACGAGTACCTGATGATAAGGGGGGAAGTAAAGCATGAAATCGGAACAGAGGAGAAGAACGTACAGGAAACCCTATGTACCACCCGCTCGACGCGTATCCATTCAGGATGAGTACAAGCGACGATAGCATGTTCGCTGAGAATACCACGAGGACGGCGTGCCACCATGTCATGCCTATGGGGGGAAATCAGCGCCAACCCTTCCAAGTTGGGGAGGAGGGGAGGGAAACGCGCACGTACCGAGGGTAATCATCGAAGATGCCACGGCCCAAGTACCCGCGTTCATCGGCTCTGCGAACCAGAAAGCGAAAAAGGAGCCTGTCCCCCAGGTCTGGTGCTCCTCGGGGGAGGGCAGGAGGTCTCTTGCGCTTGATAAGCCTACGGTACGAAAGAGAAGAGCAGACCAACCGTCATTCTCCCATATGTGTCCGTTCCCTGGGGTGTTCCTCCCTGCATCGGTCTTGATGTAGCGGTTGAGAGACGACCAGCTGTGGAATGCGTGCTGGAGGGAGGGGCGGGCGGCGACGGTTTGGATGTGGACGTCGGCGTCTTTCTCGTCGGCCATGGTGGTGGTGGTGGGGGGGGGTAGGGGTATAATGAGAGATAAACTTAAAGAGGAGGGTTAACAGGCACGTTAAGTGCACTGCGTGTATAGGCACTCGAGTTAGGGTCCCGCGGCATCATGAAGATGATAAGGGATTGGATATCACGAGGTTCAATAGAATGTCCGGCCCGTCTCTTGTTCGGCGGCCCTGGTATCTTTGGGCGAGTCTGCTAGGTAAAGATATGGTAGCAGAGAAAGGATAGGTAGAGAGCTAAGAACCTTCGTGTGTGGGTCGACGGTGCCGATCCCCTGAGAGCACCCAGGATCTGTCGGTATGGCGATCACTTCCGCCGCAGTGTCTAGATTCCGGGAAGAATTTACAGAGAAGAGCTGGAGAAAAGATGTCGCGATCTGGCGCGACTACAGTGTCCCTATACGGTAATTCCAGGCTGCCCCTCACTCATCGTGAGGTCGAGTCGGGTCCAGTGCGGTATTTTTACTCGATGTTATCTCCTCAGGACCAGAGAATATAAGAATGTAAAGAAACTCGACGAACCACAAGATTTTTTGTCGATATAAAAGGATCAAGTAAACAAATTCGCGACTGAATACAATGAAGGCGGCGGGTGATCGTCATCGTAGACCCTTTGCAAGCGTGGGATTCGGGGGTTCAAACAGACATGTGTGGCTGTGCCATCATGGAGACGCATTGTAGCGTTAGAGAAAGGAAACAGAAGAAAACCAAGTCATATAATCTATATGACGAACGGCCATTTATAAGGGTACACCTATAAGATGACAGAAATAGGGATGTCCGCCGTACCGGGGTTGGCACATATACTGTACTGTATGTGCTCGTACTGGGTGAGGGTGAGTTTATAGAGGTAAGTCTTGTTATCAAAATGTAATAGTTCATCGAGTTAACCCACCTTATACCAAAAGAAATCTGGAATCCACTGAAATTTAAGGTACCCGTATGAAGATCGTCAAAATACGGCCGTAAAAGGTTATTTTCTGAGGCGCTGACGGTACGCATGTACGGGGACGCTAGACAGAAAGCGACGGATCCTGCAGCAATCACAGTGATACCAAGAAAGAACGACCATCACACTGATATTGGTCAATGTGGGAAAAAGATTGGAGCAACGTTGGTCGCGACCACTGCCACTTTTTTCTATCCAGAAATGGCAACTGGATTGCCTAAATCAGATGCATTGTTGGCAATCGGCGGGCCGCAGATGCCGCTCTCTAGGGTTAGGGTCAATGAAGTGGGAAGTTAAACCGTCACCGTCACGACTCACTGACCCGTCCTGTCTGCTCGATACTGAACACCCAGACGGCACATATCATGACGACGCATAAAGCTGCTACCACTGCAGGTCAATACCGAGATTTGTTGTTGCAAGGGCGTTTCGGGTGCGTACGGTGGGAGCAGCCATGATAGGCGACACGGATTTGGATACGAGAACTGCAAATTCCAAGGTGCGCTACGGATCCGTACGGACGTTTCTTACAGCTAACAAGTTGATTACAGGCCCGTCTCAACGGCTGCCCACCGGCGACACGATGGGCAAATGCGAGACTCGAGAGACAGCCTGCAAGAACCCACTAACAGACAAAACAACCATGTCTTTGCTGAATACCCTTCCTGATTAGAATTGGTACCCCGAGAAAGCTGTAGAATCATCAAACCCGTAGTCGGGAAGATTCCAGTACTGGAATCGGAGGCGAATGCGTTTCTGCAAGTACGTCTTCTCGCGAAATTTATGGCTACATGTTTTCATACTGAAGAATCTCCCCGTCGAGCATCGCTCCGGGCTCAAGATTGGACACAGACCAACATATTATTCGTTTCGGGAACTGATACTTGAAAGCCATCCGGTTTCGCGTCACAGTACCAGAGACGGCAGCCAAGGCGGCCTGTTGGAAAGCGAGGAAGGCAGCAGTGAAGGTGGCGTAGTAAACGAGAGAGGCCCAATGGACGAAGCAGTGGTCGGCACCCAACGGCCTTCCTTGATGCTCGGTAGAGTCGGCTAGGGTTAGGGTTAAAGAAGTTGCGCCGGTCCGGTCACGACCACTGTGCTCAGTTATGAAGGCTCGGAAAATGGTACCAGGTGCCTATAAAGGGAGCAGCGGCGATAGACGCAAAGAATATGCGAGTTACAAGTTCGCAGGTACGCTACGGTGTTGTATTGATTTATTCGAAATTCCCTATAGTATGAAATATAATGTGACCATTCGATGGCTTGCGTCGGAGAGCAGTTCTTTTATTTTGCCAAGCGAGCGAGCGAGAACTCTTCCAACAGACAAAAATGACCTTGTTCTCGCATCCCTCCCTTGATGCTTAGAATCGGCACGTCATGTACTTAACAAGCATCGACATGTGCTGGGAGGCGAAGGAGTTTATACCCAAGTACGTCTTCCCTCCTTCCATGTCTTGGTCTATACTAATGCATACGTACAGGAAAGACCGTTGACTGTGACGAGTTGAAAGAAAGGGGGACCCTGCCGCTCTTTTAGTTCTAAGTATATGTCTGGAGGTCCGTTGCCGTGAGATCGCTTTTGCATTTAATGTAATCGTCTCTGGTCGAAACTATCTCTACAATATGACATGCGTCTCTACCATAAGTTATTTTTTTGCAGAACCCGTCCTCTTTTTTTTCAGTGAATCACGTTCACACACTCAACGTTGTTGCCTGATGTAGCCACCATCCCTCGGGCAGCTCCGTTCACTTCGGTGTCTGGTGGTCTCACACACGCCGCGGTTTTCTGAAAGTATGTTTTATGGCTATTTCTTATCTATTATGTGTATTTATGGCGTGTTGTGCCTGCTTAATCCATTTCATCACCTTCCCACCTCGGGGTTATTATCCCTCACTGTATATCTGTGGAAACTACGGCGTGGGGATCACTCCTTCCCTTGAACAACATCTCCTCAACTGGACAGGGAACATCAGGCGATGAAACAGGACACATTCCACATCCCGTTGATCAACTTCTGCAACAATTACAGCATATGGAAGACACTGTCTCAAGGGGATAATCCTTGCCTGAAGGATATCGCAATCGACCTGAATTCGATGTGGATGAAAGACGACGCTGAGTCAGCCAAGCTTTTCATGCAGAGCCAGTTTACGAATAAGCGAGTCAATGTCGTGTTTTCGTGTCAGTCTTTCGCTGCGTTTCGAATTACTCTATCGTTCTGATGCTGGCTTTCGGAATCGCAGGCGGACCGCTTACACTGTAAATGCATTACAAGCTCAAAGACTAATTTCTGTATGCAGATGAAGATGCGGAAGTTTTTTTATTTTACTTTGAACAGGTATTACCTTGGATCCGTGTTATATACATAGTATCATGAACAGGAGGCTCTTCTACTTCTGTCTAAATCATACCTACGCGCTGGATCCAGAGTATGATTCTCTCGGACTAACGTTCACCGATGATGCTGTTGAGCTCGTCCCAGATGTTCTGATTCCGGCAGCACTATCTGGGAAGGATGAATAGAATTTCTTCACAGCCTGTTTGTACTAGACTCACCTGGTAATACAGCAGACTGATGGTCCTTATCGTCCTTCAATGTGGAAGTATTCAGGGCAAAATATCGAATATCCTCGCCGGACATATACGTCCTGGTCTCCATTTCAACCCGCAGCGACGTCGTATGCATTGGACTGGATAGAGAACGCCTCGGACCAGCGGCAGCGGCGAATTGATGAGTTTTCTCAAACGTCTCTATGGTGACGTCAAGTGTCGCCCTCACGCAGACGAGTGTGATAATGAGAGTGGGATAGATGGCCTAATATAACGTTTGACGAGAGGTTTTTGAGAAATGCGGGTATAAAGGGAAAAAAAACGGATAGCCCTCACTGTAAGCTGAGCAAGCATGCCCAACATGATGTATATCCCACTGCTCGAAAATATAAAAGTGAAGATGGCGGCGAACTACAACAGATAAGTTGGAACATCGCGAGAAGAGAGAATATATATACGCACCCACGTGCAACAATACAACATCCCTGACTCGATCAGGAACGCCAGGATGCCATTCTGCTTGCAAAACTGGGCTGCGAGCGATTCGCCTGTGAGTGAGCGGATTAAACGATGGTGGGTCCTTGAAAAAAAAAACGGATTCATATAGGAATAGAACGGTTAGAGACTATGCTACTCACCAGGTACGGTAAGCAATGAGGGACGTGGCGCAGATATTTGTTATCAGCGTTGAAATCATAGCACCGGCTCCCCAGATAACAGCGGTCGGGTTTCGGGATGCATTGTGCACAAATGGCTCCGGGGGGTGCGACAACGCATAGCCCATGCCACAGCCAATCCCTTTTTATGGCAATAAAATCAGCTTCAGAAACCGTAGACGATGGATCCTTTACCGAGTGTGACTAGAAGCAGGATCACGGACATATAAAGCACCCGTCTGTCGCACTTCCAGAGCACCCACGCTCTCCATAAAATGATTCCGTCTCCAAACAGGAACTGTGATAATATCATACTTTGAAAATCGATCTAGGGAGGCGGCACGTACGTTTATGCATTCCAATGATAGCTGTGCTAATACCCTTGGGGCCGCATTATTTTCGAAGACCAGAGGGTCCGCAGCCCCGTTCTCCCGGAGGAACCCCCGGAACTTCTCGTCGAAGCTCACAGCGGCGTGAGCAGTCGAAACAGACCACATGATGACGTTCAAGATTATCATGGACACGATGACCTTGGATTTCTTCCGTTTGAATCTAAACATTAATCCAATCAGCCCCCATCGAGCATACGAGCAAGGGGCTCACATTAAGAGGTACGATGATCCTGCAAAGAGGCATGTGTACATCCCTGAGAAATTTGGGTTCCGTGAGATATTCCTTTCGTGATCGAGGGTAGCGTACGCACCATATAGCAGCACCTCGATCACCACCGCAATAAAGACCGCGTCTGGGACGGAGAGTGGCATCACTGCTCGAGGGTTTGAGTTGCAGGCTGAGAGAACGATGGGTTTTAAATGCAGATAGCCCGAGAACAACCGAACGCACTGGCAGAGAGATTTACCCCAGCATCAGCCCTTCCTGAGATTCTTGATGTATTCAGCCGACTGCAACCATCGATAAGTTAAAATTGATCGCCGCGCCAGCATCCAGTGAGTCAGATCCTTGACAGCGTTGAAACGTTTCCATCAGTGTAAATCTGTTAGGTTTCCCATGCTGTTTGTAAGACTTCGCTGGTATAGCGCTGCTACCAGTTGGGCTTGGACCAAGGAGGTTAATCGCAAATCCCCCAGTTCGAAGAGTGAAATGACGCAGACGAGGTCCAAAAATATTGTAAGTGTGGCTGTCTTTGATTTCGGGCCGCCCACTTATATAAGCTTCTTCCATTGCCCGGTGACATAAATGATGAATGGTGAGTGCCCTTGCATCTACTTTATTTCTACACTGATCGGTTTTCTCTCGGGCCGATGACACACGGCTCGAATTTTCGGCGCCCTTCTTTTGAACTTGATAATTTCCTCACAATGGGAAGGGCTTTGAGGAGGCTTGAAAATGTGAGTGAAGAAAGCACAAAGAAGGCTCTTTAAATGAGGAAAGAACCCAAGAGGTCCATATGGAGTTTCCCTGGTTGACCGGGTGGTCCGGCATCAACACAGTTATTTTGATCAATGAGCGCTAAGAAGCAGAGAAATAACAAAAGACACTGCTGGAACCAATAAAAGTAGGACCTGAAAATATTGTGACATTTCATTCAATTTTGCAATAGTAAAAAATGAGTTCAGTAAAATAAGTTGATAAATGAGATCATTTCCATATTCTTTTCTGTAAAAGAAAACAGCAGGGAAAATTGAATTGAAAACACTGCCAGAACAAAGGAAACCACTTTTCATTTGCTGAAAAGAGTTTGTTTTTGGCATATAAAAAGAGTGCCAAAAATAGCAAGTTTTTCATCATGTTTTTTTAATCTCATTTTTGCAGTATATAAAGGTAATTGAAAGTCACAACATTTTAGAATGTCTGTTTTCATGCTGAAAAGAAACTGGCTTCATCTGAGATCAGCTAAGAGTGAGGCATGAGCAGATGGCTTATCATACTAGTCTTGTATTCCATAGAGAATAGATGTGCATTGAGTGTAGCAAGTGAATGTGACAGCAGTTGGACTATGATGCTGGAAGCAATCATATCATAGATGAGTATGGGTGGTAAGGCTGCAGTAAGGAAGTCAAGTGGAAGATGGCTTATAGATGCTGGAGAGTGCTGGCTTGCCACAGAGAGAACAAATGTGGATGTATTTGGTCTTGCTACAGATGCAGACACACATGTAATAGAGATTGAAGAGAACACAGATATGTTTGCTATCTGAAGTGTACAGATCATTGCTCAGACCTGCATCCAATGAGGCTAGGTTGTGACAGATCTGTCCTAGTGCTTAGAGACAAGATAGAGCCTCTTGCATATAATACAGCAAGGAGGTGAGCTGGTTCTCCTGCTGCTAACTGAAAAAAGCCAAGGTGTCCTGATGGAAGTGCTTCAGGAAGAGCAGCACTCATTCTTAGTTCTGAGTTTGGCACAAACCCATGAATTATAATAAGACTTCATCTCCATTCACTTCAGCAATCTAAAGCTAATTATACACCTTCAGCTTTCTCATCCTATCACTAAGCTATCTAAAACAGTATTTTTATTGTCCAGGAAACACTCTAACCAAGATCTGCAGAGCTATAAAAGAATATACACAAGACAAGTATTGTATCTCTAAGCTCCAACTTGTGACACCACAATTTCAATCTCATATATAGTTGCTCTCCAACTCTTCAATTCATTCAATGCTATATCATCTGATACTTTCTCAATGAACTCTAATACTTCTAGAGCCTCTATATCTGACAGCTTTTTAGATTTATTTTATACTGTGATCAGCAATCCAGCTATTATCACTCTCTTCAAAGAAGCAATAAAGAACAATATATCTCTTGACAAGCTCATCAAATGGACCAGCATATAGTCACATTTACCATAGGCAGCAGGGAGCTCTACAGACTATTCTATCTCATTGCTATGGTAATATGAGTTCTCACACAAACAAAGAGTGATATACTTCTGCATGCAACTAACAATGTCACTCCTTATGTTAACTCTTTGCAATAGTCTCAAACTATTCCAGAGAGTGCATCAAAGGAGCTCAGGCTCACCTCCCAGCATCAGCTTACCAAATTATTGTTAGAATCTAAATCTATATATAAAGAAACTCAGTCATGACATACTGTGGTGCAAACAGACAGTATTGTATCATATCTATATGTAAAGAAACTATGATACATGGGTGACATAAGAGATATAAGAAATACATATAACTCACCTCAGTCATGACATGCTATAGTGCAAACAGACTGAGAAAAAGAGAGGCATGTTGATCAATGTGCTATAAATATGTTTAACAAACAATAGAGCCACTCTCAGTGTATTCCAAAGACAATTAGGCACTGACAATTATCTGGTCAGCCTTGTATGCTGTTCTTAGCATGAACTGAAGGCTAGATTCAGCAAGTTTCAAGCTCTCATACAGGAAGCTATATTTTAGCTGGCCTCATACATCAACAATAGCATTTGCAAAGTTTTTGATATTCTCATCAACTGGAGAGCATACATAGGGCTTTAATAGAATGAGTTTCTGTTCAGAATAGCTTCTTTCATATATGACAATATTCAGACTTATGAATCAGAGGTTGATGTGACTCTTATTACCAGAGTAATCAGTGAAGCATGCATGTGGAGTATTTTCTACTAATAAAGTCATTGAACATTATGATTCTAATGACAATGCTATTCTGATATATTATATTTCATCTACAGCCATCTACTTCTCTGATATAATTGTGTAGATGCATTTCCTCTGTAATCTATGCAACTCTTGTGCATCAATATTTGCTCATCTTTACCAGCTGTTGATCAACTACAGCTCAAAAGATAAAAACACTTCTCTGAGCCCATATCTGCCTGCCAGCCTTATAAGACTATGTGTTACAATTGACTCAGACTCAGACACTGAAATGAGTGACCATAATGATAACTGCAATGAGAAGGAGAATATCTTATTAGAAATGATGAGTGTTAGATTCAAGTATCATGTTTGTATAATTATGCCAGAGTCCACTTCTATGTCTGACTTGGTGTGAGATTCAAGGCATTGCAAGTTGCTTGAGAGAGAATAGTATAGAATAAACTTTAGCTCAAAGCTGAGTCTATTACAGCAAGAGCTATACTACTTAATATATGTTTCTGAGTGTGATAAATATAGTTCTACTTATTATGAATATCTGTGAGCTGAAACTAAAGAGCATGTGATTCATGCATGAAACAATAAATATCATCTGTTGGTTATTAAGCTTAAGTGACATGTGACCTAAAACATGTGATAAACAGGTGCTGTATCCTGTTTGTACAGTCATGCCTGAGTTCACTGTATGTGTCTATGTGGTGATATGTTCCAAAGCCTTGCAGTTAGCTTGAGATAGAGTGAAGTATAAACTTTAGCTTGAAGCTGGAGTTATACAGTGAGAGCTATCCTACTTATATACTACTTGTCCATTGAGATAAATATAACATTACTAATTGTGTTGGTTCAAGCCTTTGTGCTCTTTGTCCTTGAGCATTATTACTACCTACAAAAGTATTATTGTCTATTGTTGAGGGGCATCATTGCATCAGAAGACAATGATAGACTCAGTCTGGTTATAATGACTAAACCTGTCTCACAGTCTTAAGTGCTGTCTTTAGCACTCTGACTAAGCATAAATAGGGGTTAAGTTGAGGAGAAAATAGAAAAATCATAACATTACCCCCTCCTTAAGACCATCATCCCAATAGCTTAATCTAGGGATAATTCATAGTCATGTATAGTGTCTGCAGCATTTATCTATTTTTTATTGACCCACTAGTTAGATTTCAGACTGTAGCCCTTTCAACTAACTAGATAGTCAATTGTTGTTGTGCTACTGCCATCACATGCTTGAACCTTTCAAAGTCAATGATTTAACACTTGATCAATTTCATAGTGTTTTTTGTCATTGATTAGATCTGATGCTGGGGGTGGAGGTTGTTCTTGATTGGAGAATGTTGGCATTATATATAGTGTCAGAAGAGTTTCATTAAAGACATCATGGATTTTCCAGGCAGAAGAAAGTCAGAGTTTGTATGCAAAAGCACTGATTTTGGCTATGATTGGGAAGGGGCCAGTGTGTTTATTGGCAAGCTTCTGTTTCAGTTGCAGAAGATGAAAGTTGGTCATATCTAGCCAGACCTTGTTGATGATATTATACATATGTGTAGGGAAACAATATTTATCATATTGTTTTTTCATTGAGGATATCACCTTCTCAAGGACAACATGAGTTTTCTTGTGAATCTTGGATATGGTGTGTATGAAATCAGAGGATGCAGGAGTGGTTGTATAGATGCATTCAGTGTGGGAGACATTTGGATGCCAACCATAGTTGATGAAGAATAGGGTTTTCCCTATCATAGAGTGAACATGGTTGTTGTGTTGAAATGCTGTGAGGGCAAGCCATTTGGCCCAATCATCTTGTTGGTAGTTGATAAATAAATGTAGATGTTTCTCAACTTCTTGGTTGATGTGCTTGGTTTGTCCATCAGTTTGGGGGTGATATGCTATGGAGATGTTATGGCAGATGTTTAATAAGCAGTAAAAGTTGTTGAGGAATTTGGAGATGAACTGTGATCCTCAGTTGGAGATGATGATCTGTGGCATACTATATTTGGCATAGACTTCATCATATAAAATTTTGATCCAGCCTTCTGATGTCAATTTGGTAGAGCATACAACTGGAATGACTGCCTTCAAAAAGCAATCAATAATGACCAGGATCATATTATAGCTATTACATTCAGATAGTTCAGTGATCATATCAATGAAAATGTGGGTCCATAGTGCTTGTAGAACCTCATTTGGGTATAGTGGTGCTGCTTATAGTTGAGTTGATGCCTTTCTATATTAGCAAGTTTCACATTCTATGTCATAGCTGAGTTTGGGCCACCAGT